ACCCCTCGGGGTTTTAATGAATATTAAAGAGCCGCAATCCGCAGTTTTTTCTTTAAAGAAAGTTAATTTTTTTAATAGAGAAATTAAATAATCAATGTATATGAGAATAGGTGAAAGAATAGAATTATGTAAAAAATGAACGTTTAAAAAAATTTTTTTTAAATAGATTTTCGAGAAAGCGTTCTATGTAATAGTATATTTCACTAAAAATTTTCGTTTAAATTCGAATTATGTCTAATGAAAATAAATAAATCAAATAAATTAGGTTATTCATTTTTTTCTAAAAAAGCTAAAATTTTACTTACTTTTGTTGGAATTCTTAAGAAGTATAATAATTTCCATATTGTGACGCCCATTTGTTGTAAACGGTATTAAATTTAGAAACTCCCGCGGGATACTGACAAAAGTTTGTTTGTTGTTATTTGATTTGAGCCTGTTTGTTGTCATTTGATCAATATAAACATAATAATGGAGATCAGATCAGATGGAATTGAACACACAAAAAGAATCGTAAACGCCGCAGCGTTTTTTTAAAACCCGAGTTCTTATAACACTATTTAAATTTTTCTAATTTCTTATTTTCTAAAATTATTTACTTGGATGGCCTCCTCAGAGGTTAGATCACATAAATTATCCCCTTTTAGTTTCTAATATTCTTCATTCAAAAATTAATTTATAAAAAATTGGGGTTATTGAGGATCAAATAAATTGCTTAAATTGATATTTTCTATTTCATTATAATAATTCTCTTATTTTTTTTTGATTTTCCTTTTACAAATAAAATTTAATATAATTGGCCTCCGCAGAGGATAGATCACTTTAAAATTAACCCCCTTATATTTTCTAAAATCTTCATTCAAATATTAATTTATTATCAAAATGGGGGACCTAGGATTTTGAGCGCAAATATAAAATTTTATTCATTCATAAATTAATCATTTAATAAAATCTAACCGCGGATTTTGAGGCCAATAATAAATTTAAATTCCATCTTTTTTTTAAAATTCCCCAACCTATTCCTAACTCTAAATTTTCTCGGCAAAAGGTGAGGAACCATCCGGTGCTACCAGTAAAGCGGTTGGTCCCGTTCCCCAGTGCCTCGTTAGTTAGTTATGTTATAAGCAAAGTCGCGCATGCTGCAGACATGTGTGAACTCCGCAGAGTATAGAAATAGGTGAATCGCAGTGGGGGAATATAGGGAGAGCGCTCTTCCCTTCAAGGATGGATTGGCCGGCCGGCAACTCTGTTGAATGAATGAAGAAGTGATCCGCTTTTGCCTATTCCATTAGAGCTTATATGCACCAGCCTACTTCCTTATTGCTTTCCCAAGGATAAGTTAGTGGCGATGTTAAGCTTGGATAATGGGTGGTTAATAACTCTCTGGGAACTTCCGCTACTTAGCACAAAGTTTATAGCGACATTATTGTTCACGTGATTTCAGGATGAACCCAGCCTTACACTATGTTTATTTTAGAGAAAATTTGGCATTTATTTCATTTATTAAATACTTTAAAATTTTGTACTCTAATTCTTAAAATATTTTTTTATAATTCCCCTCCGTCTAAATTTTTGCTCAAAATTATTTAAACCCATTAAATTAAATAAAAATTAATTTTTTTTTGTATTTTCCTATTAAATAATTAATTAGGTAAAATAATTTAAATTAATTTTTGATAAAAATTTTCAATTCACCTAAATTCTTGAGAAAATCTTTTTTTTTTGCTTTAGATTGATTAATTAATTTAATTCATTTTTTCCTTCTGATTTCCGAAAAAAATTTTGATTTCCGATTTCCAACTTTTTAGCCAGTTCCGATTTCCGACAGTTCCGAGTTCCTACACCTCTTTCCTTATCTTATTTATTAGCGTTGATTTATTAGGTGTAATCTCACATTTGAATTCCTCTTAGTTGCGAATAAATCAACCTTATGGTGAGGGTAAAATTACGTTAAGGGCCAGCTATAACATCTAAATTTAGCATTACATATCTCAAGTTGAGGAGTAGCTAATTTTGTTGCGTCTACCAAAAAATTTGTTTCAAAAGATGATAAAGTAGACTTTGCTTTGCGTCGCTAAATTAATATTTTGTTAAAGCAAGCGTTAACATACAAAAATAATTTATGGAATCAAATGAAAGAAACTATTTTGATAATGTTATCAGCAAATTTATTAATAAATTTAGGAATAAATTATTATATATGAAGTAATTTAAATTTTAATCGTATCTTTAAATTAACAATTTATGTAATTTGCCACATGTCAAAGACTTTGCTGATTTAAACACAACAATTAGTAATGAAATTGTGAGGGAAAACTTGAAAATTTTGTATAAAAAAGTTGAATTGATTGATATGTATGTTGGTGCTCTTTTAGAGGATCCTATTGAAGGGGCACTTATTGGTGGGTTTTTGAAATTTAAGGGAGAATTTTCAAAAGTTTTTACATAAGTTAATATAAATTAGGTCTGTTAGGGGTGAGGGAAGAGACAATTGTCAAAAACGCATTGCATTGCCAAAAAAAATGCAAAAATGAAAAATTTAACCTAAAATTAGACATTTTTCAATTAAAATGGCCCAAAACGCTCTGCACCTCCCACTAAATAGCCTCTACATAAGTTACAATAACACTCTTGTATCGGCTATCGGACATCGTATCGCAAAGGATAACACCCGCTATCTTAGCTAATTTTATGTTTAATATGAAAAATTCAAAAAAATTTCTATAAAATTTAAATCTTGAAATATACAATATCAGTATAAAAAATTTTTGTTTTATGTAATTATTTTTGTAAGCTAAACAACGCTTTAGCTATTTTATGGTAAATGTCCATTTCAAACACAATTTTCCGTCAAAGAAATTTCTGTTAAAAAAATTTTTTATTACGAATGATTTGTTGACATTTTGGTTAAGTGTTAAAAATCACCTCCTTTAGAAGAAGAATGACCTAATTTTCAATTTATTTTTAAAAAATTTTTAAGGTCCAACATTAGCTTGTGTTTTTTCCAAGCAGTTCAAGGCTCTAAGAGATGGTGATCGGTTTGTTTTACAAAAGATTATACCTAATTACCTTATTATTTCGAACAAATTTTTAAGAATTTTCTAAATTATAAAATAATTCAATGACCTTAGGCAAAAATTAGAAAGATTGTATGGAAGAAAGGAAAAAGTCTGACCATTTGTAAAAATATAGGGGGAAATTGGGGAGTAAAAAGGGGGGCTGTCCGCTTTAATATCACTCCCTATTCTTCCAAGAATTAAAATATTAAATTTTTGTCCTAATCCGTAATTTTCTTGTAGAATTTACAGTAAAATTTACGGTACACCTCAATTGAGTCCGCACGATTGAGTCCCCACGATTGAGTCCGCACGATTGAGTCCCCGTTGTATATACCTCAATTGAGTCCCCTAGATTTAATTATATTAAAAAAGATTAAGAGGGATATTTGGGGATTTGGAGGGATTAATGTTAATATCAGGGGACTCGTATGCGACATCGAGGTATCAAGATGGATATTGGTGAATATCAAGGGATATAAGTAGATTTTAGCGGGGATATCGGTTGAATTAAGGCAGATATCAACAAATTCGGAGAGATTAAGATGGATATTGTGGGTTTGGGGATTAGGAGGGATATCGAGAGATTTTTTGAATGACAGCTCATTCGAAAGTAGTGAGTCGAATGACACGAAAATCAACATTGTTGAACAAGTTCTCGCCGAGATATGGGGCTCGAAATGGTCATCCATGGGGAATTTTTGTTGCGAAACATTCGAATAAACAAAAAATAGCTCATTCGAAAGGACTCGACGAGCTGAGTTGAGTGATACCAAAATCAGCTCGATTGGATGATATTGAACATAATTATTCAACTGAATCTTCGATGGAAACTTTTTTTTGTGCTGCTACGCAGGGTATTTGGGGTCTCTCTCAATCCCGTTACGGGATCTCGGGAATTTTTTTCAAATTTACGGAATTTATAATTACTCCATTAAACTGCCTGCGGCGTTGAAAAAGGAAGAAATCTGGCTTCCTGGCCTTCCAAAATTCTCAAAATTTTCGCCTGCGGCGCTAAAATATGAAAAATCTAGTGACCTGGGCTTCCAAAATACACTAAAATGGAAGAAAGCTGGCTTCTTAGCCTTCCATAAGCTGGCTTCTTAGCCTTCCTTCTTAGCCTTCCATAAGCTTCTTAGCCTTCCATAAGCTGGCTTCTTAGCCTTCCTTCTTAGCCTTCCATTAGCTTCTCCTTTCAAAATTCGAAAAGCTTTGCATGTGGTGCATGGATTACGATTATTAAGACGGATTTGGAGAAAAATAGGGTTGTCAGGGAGTTATGGATTAAGAGGTATATAATGGATAGGGGATTAAGAGTATATTAAGGGATTAGGGGAATTACCCACATATTCAAATCTAGTTGAGCCATCTAAATCCGCTATTTTGACCTTAACTCACCGTTCTTCAAATCACCCTTTATCTCTCCAAATATTTACCGATATCCTCCTAAATCCACCTATAAGCATTAAAATGCTCTTAATCTCTCTTAATCCACTGATATCCCTCTTAATCCTCTGTTATCTATTAATTCCTCCCTTAATCTGTCGAAATCCACCGATATTATTTCCAAATCCGACGATATTCAACATATTTATAATTAAAAAATTTTTTAAATTAAAATCCCGGAATCCCGCGGGATCCCGGTAAATTTGAGAACGGGATTACCGGGACTCCGGGATTAACGGGATTAATCCCGCGGGATCCCTCCCGTTCGATATTTTCAAACTCAATCCCGTTACGGGATCCCGGAAATGCGATTTTGCCGATCTCTAATGCAGGATATGGAATTTTTAAAATTAAATCCACGGGGACTCAATTGAGGTATATACAACGGGGACTCAATCGTGCGGACTCAATCGTGGGGACTCAATTGTGCCGGGACTCAATCGTGGGGACTCAATCGTGCGGACTCAGTTGAACTGCTCCGTAAAATTTATAAACAAATAATTTTCTTAAATTAATTTTTTTCCACAGATTTTTCTACGAGAACCCAGACATACTTTCCAGTGAACAAATAAAACAAATAAAACGTGCAACTCTAGCTAGAATACTTTGTGATTCTGGCGATTCTATGAAAAAAGTTTGTAAATTTGTTTTTTAAAATTTTTTTAATGAATAGAAAAGTCTAGAAATTTTCAAAAAATTAAATTTTAACAAATTTTAAAAACTAAATTAAAAACGTCTATCCTGAAATAATAATAATATCTTTTTTTGTAACTTATTAATTAATATAATTAATTACCTATAATTTATTTTTAATAAATTAACGGTTAATTAGTTTAACGTCAGCAGCTCTTAATTTTTTGGATGTCTAAATATTTAAATTAGACAAATTTATTAATCGGGACCCTAACTTTTTATCTAACTAGTGATCGGAAAAATAAAAAATCAAATTCTTAGACATTCGATTCTTAAATCAAATAATTTTAAATTTTGGCTGCCAGTCAAATTTCACATCCAAACTTTAATAAAAATTTTTTGACCGAAACTTTGGTTTGACTAATTTATAATTAATTCTTTCAGGTACCCAGACATGCATTTAATCAGGCAAAGGCTGAAGATTTAATTAATTGTGAACAGATTGATTCGCCAAATTATTTTAAATGGAAGGAGGACCAACTTGGGTTTTAAATAATTTTTCTAATTTTGACAATCTTATTTGTCCCAATTATTATTTTCAATATACCTAATTTAACTCCTATATTATTCTAAATTGTTTCTCCAATGAAAACCTTATATTTACGGCCCGTGATTTTTTAATTAAATTTACACCTATGGAAGACCAATCATTTTTAGAGCCATATTTTTAATTATAACCGTTACAGATATCAAAAATTCCCAAAATCCATCAGCCCTGGCCTAAATTTTTAAGGTGGTCTGGACAAGAGATTTTATAATCATTAGGGCAAATTAAAAATAATTTACTTTGGATTTAAATAATTTAGGTAGCCCATGCTTTCCTATATTTACGGCGCATGATTTTTTTATTAAATTTTCAGCACTGACCACTCTAATAAAACATAAAACCCTTTGAAAGAACAATCCATTTTTAGAGCTGAATTTTTAATTATACTCGGATATCCAAAAATTCCCAAAATCGTCCAGCTATGCCCCGAATGCTTAAGTTCTTTTGGGAGGGGCAGGCTGAAATTATAGTTTTCATTTCTGAATCAATCCAAAACACATTTCTGTTAGCACTCAATTAATTCCCTTACGGTCATATGACAAAAAACAATGTAATAACTTTTCTCTAAAATAAACAGTATTGGTCTTTATTTAACTGCTCGTATGGATAAATTCTTCGACAAGACGCTCGCGTGCTTACATAAAATCGACATCTTCAGCTCGCGTCTTTCTTAAGATATACACGTTATTTTTAACTAGCCCAAGCATTATAATGTTTATTTTAGAGAAAATTTGGCATTTATTTCACTTATTAAATACTTTAAAATTTTGTACTCTAATTCTTAAAATATTTTTTTATAATTCCCCTCCGTCTAAATTTTTGCTCAAAATTATTTAAACCCATTAAACTAAATAAAAATAAATTTTTTTTTTGTATTTTTCTTTTCGAATAATTAATTAAAATAATTTAAATTAATTTTTGATATAAATTTTCAATCGACTTATATTATCGAAAAAAATTTTTATTTTGCTTTAGATTAAGTAATTTATTTAGGATTTTATTTATCTTTCTTTTTTATTGAAGTACATCAATCGAATAACTTCTTTGTTGACTGTATGTATATTTTTGGAAGCCCTTCCTACTTGGGCTAATTATCAGGATTACTGTTAATTTTCAATCTTCTTAGATTTTTTGTCTTGTGGATTCCAGTCCAGTCCAGTACACTCTGTTTCATCCTTATTTCATCATATCTCATTGAAAAAGCATCGATATTTTTTTTAAAGTTTTTTTCGAGCTCAAAGGCTTATGAGGCTTCATTGGACACACAAACTAGACCGTTGTCAATATTTTATTAAATCTGAATCCACACTTTCTCTTTAAATTTAAATTGTTTTTTAAACTTTAGTTCAACAAACAACAACTACAACAACCACAACAACTACCGAAGCCTCTACAGAAACAACAACAATAGACCGAGAAAAACAAATGTTAAAATCGGCTGAACGTTCATCTTTACTAAATAGAAAGCCAACCAGAAAAAGAGTTGCAGGAGAATGCAACGATTTACATGGTTGGGAATTTTGTTTGAATTATTTTTAAATTTGATGTTTTGTTGGTCATCTCTTATTCCTAATGATAGTATTTATATAGATCCCATATTGCTGGTCTCTTTGGGTTCTGCACAGTTCGATACTACTGTATTAATGATAGTACCGAATCAAGGGATTTTTTGGGATTAGGGGGGGGGGCATCAAGTGATATTCCTCTTAATCTCTCGGTCTCGACTCTCGATTTGGTCTCGGTCTCGGGATTGATTAACGGTCTCGACTCTCTGCATTTTTTGTAAGTGACAGCTGCAACATCTAAATTTAGCATTAAGTATCTCAGGTTGAGGAGTACCTAATTTTATAGTATCTTCCAAAAAATTTGTTTTAAAAATGATTAAGTATTTGTACTGTGTTTTGGCGTTTTTAAATTAATTTTTTGTTAAAGCAAGCTTTAACATCCAAAAATAATCATAATGGCCAATAGAAAAGAAACGCAATTCTGATAATGTTATCATCAAATTTATTAATAATTTTAGAAATAAATTATATACGAAACAATTTAAATTTTAGTCGTATCTTTAAATTAACAATTTTTTAACTCTCAAGAATATGACTTTTTACTAACAAATTATCAGAAATTAAAATTTTATCAGAAATTAAAAAGAAATTAAAATCTTAGATCTCTGTAAATTTTGGAAATCAATTGGCGAATGTAAAAATAACAAGGATTGGATGCGGGATCATTGTCCTGTTAGTTGTGATGTTTGTACTAATGGTAAAAAGAATAAATATTTTTTGAATGGGGGAGTATAATGGAATTTTTAAAGGATCATCAGTCTGTGTCGATCGTCATCGTCTCTGTGATTTTTGGGCATCTATGAAGGAATGTGAAACAAATGCTGTTTGGATGCTTGTAAATTGTCCTCGTTCTTGTAAGGTGAAAAAGAAATTTTTTGAAATTTATTTCATAAATCGGGCCTTGATTATCCATAAGTGTAAAGCATATAGCTATTTAATTCCTATGTCTGTGCAGTAGGCGGCGTAGTGTGAACACATCAGTCCGGTCTACTGAAGATGCTGGTTCGCTCACAGCCGCCGAATAACCTCTTGCACTAGCTAAAGGAGAGAAAAAGCTATAGCCCAGCTGCTTTACTTAAGCACTGGAGAAAGTATCCAAGTACCCCGACCCGACCTTGAAGCTAAATTTACTGACATGCATTTTGGGGCATGTATTTCTTTATACCCCAACCCCGCCTGATCTTCTTAAATAATATTAGCCTGATTTTCTATTAGTTAATATTAATTATTTTAATTTTGATTTTAATTAATTCTGGGAACTTCTGATAGACATGGGTAGACGGCGGAAGTTTCGCTTATTTTTTGGGAGCTTGACATTGTTCATAGCTAATTTATGGATATTCCTTGTTTAACCCAATGAAACTTATTTCATAATTTAAAAGAAATTTTTTTAAATTTTATTTTATAAATCGAACCTTGATTATTCATAAATAATGGATAATCAAAAATTATCCTAGTACCCCGACCATTCCTAGATGAGGTGTTAGGGATTAGGGATTTGAAACTTGTCCTCTTATTATTTGAGGCGATATTTACGGACGTGCATTTCATTACCCCTAACATTCTATTACCCCGGTATTTTTGAGAGTATGTATTTTTTATTACCCCAACCCATGCCTGCACTTCATAAATAATAGTAGCCTGATTTTCTATCTTAACTATTTAATATTAATTATTTTGACTTTGATTTGAATTAATTCTGGGAACTTCTGATAGTACATATATTATTATCTAACCGGGAAATTTATTGGTTATTTTTTGGAAGAAACTTGTTCATAGCTAATTTATGGGTATTTTTAATTTTACCCTTTCAAAGACAACACTTTTAAATTAAATAAAAATTATTTTGTTGTTTAAATAGCTATGTAAAGGAGCTTCGGCAGAACGCGCGGAATTAGGAATATTTGAAGAATCTGACTGTACTTTTGTTTCAACACACGAAGGTCAATATATTTATCAAAAATTTTATTTTATTCGAGTTTTCGAAAATCTGAGGTTCTGTTTCTCCTTTTAGATACCACAATTCGTCGAACAATTTCTACATCAGATGTCCGTGTAAGCAACAATGCTTTTGGTTGTTCTCCCGCTTTAACTAGACCAAATTGTAACAAAAATCTCTGCTACCATTTAAAATTCCGAACTCTAGATGGTTCGTTTATTTATTAATTTTGGCCAAGTTGGGCAATTAAAAAACATTTTTTAATACAGTAAGGTGCAAAAGTTTATGCGCCTGCACATTGCAGGCAGAGAAATTGATATATCTCAGGAAGAAAAGGGACCTGAATTAAATCAATTATATTTTAATTAAGGGTAGGTATTGTATTACTAAAATTTATAAAAAAAATTTCCAATATACATTTTATTTAAAAATTATAAGCATCAAAACCTGTCTACCTCAAATTTTGGGGGAGCAAAAGTTTATGCGGCAAATTTGAAAAAAAATTTTTTGGTTCTAAAACAAGACGAAAAAAATTACAAAAATTTTTATAAACATTCCCATTAATAATGAATGGAAAAAGAAGAAAAACGAGGTCTTTACTCGCTTTATTCATTGAGATCTCAAATCTCAAAAATCAACGGGAAATGAGGTTACAGTACTTCTAAAAATATTTTAGCTCCCTAGAGCCTGTATATAAAATTCCTTTTGGGCACATTAGAAAGCCCATAAAATTTGCTACAAAATACACTTGGTTTCATATTTGTAAAAAATTTCAGCTTCGGGATAGGGTCGCATGAAAAAACAATGTTGTCAAAATCACTCAAATTACCCTATAAAATGCTCATTTTTATTTCTTCGATAATTAATGTCACCCTACCTCGGAGTGTAAATTTTCCAAACAAAGGAGACTAACCGTATTTTGTAGTAAATTTTATGGGCTTTCAAATGAGCCTAAAACAAAAATTTAAAAAAATCCATAAGGGGTCGAAAATATTTTTTTAATTACTGTACCCCAATTTTACGTTGATTTTTAAGATTTTGGATCTTGGTGAAAAACTTATTTATCGGATTCATTCTTTTTGTTTTTCCATTCAATATCAATGAAAATGATTATAAAAATTTTTGTAATTTTTTTTCGTCTTGTTTTAGAACCAAAAAATTTTTTTTCATATATGGCGCATAAACTTTTGCTCCTCCAAAATTTGAGGTAAATAAGTTATTACCTGAATAAATTTTGAATGACATGAGTATTAAAAATTTTTTTTATGGATATCATAAACAGATGACCTACCCTTAATTAAAATATAATTGATTTAATTCAGGTCCCTTTTCTTCCAGCGATATATCAATTTCTCTGCCTGCAATGTGCAGGCGCATAAACTTTTGCACCTTACTGTACCTTTCTAGGAATAATATAAATTATTTTGTTTATAAAGTTTAATAAACATTTTTGTTGGATCAATGTTAAAGTAGAACCTTGAGCATATTAGTTGTTATTTTTGCAAGCCAGAACATTGTTCTAGGCTATAAATATTTTTTTGTAAAATTTTAACACGGTTCGTAAGAAAACGATAATACCCGTAGATGGGTTTGGTCATCAAGGACCGCGATATTAACATAATTTTTATAAGGATATTAGCATTAAAATTTATAGCCCTGAGCATCTCATTTTCTTCAAGATCACTTCAAATAAAATTTATTTTGAATTTAGGAACTTGTAACAATTTGGAAAAGCCTTTGTTTGGTGCGGCATTTATGCCTTTGGCTAGGTGAAAAATTTTTTTCGATTCAATAATTTTATTTAAATTTTCAAGGCTAAAAGAACCTGTTTACGATGATAAGATGGCAGCTCCTGTTGGTATATTATTTTTTGGATTTTATAGAGGAAATACACTGTCCGACATATACGGATTTTTTACGGTCCTCGTTGGGACCGTAAAAGTCCCATTCTAAGCGAAATGGGCGTTTAACTTGACTCTAATGTGTGAACCAGGGCTGCGCGCCAAAATTTACGAGTGGCGCGCCAAACGCCAATTTTTCAAAATTTAAAAACACGCCAAACGCCATAACGCACAGTCCTGGTGTAACGGTCTTTTAGTCGGATGTATTTTGTAGAGGTCGGCGCGGGACGGGATCCCGACGGGATTTTCCGAGATCCCGCTCCCGAAATCCCGGATTTTTTTGATTTTCGGGATCATTCGGGATCCGGGATTTTTTCGGGATTTATCCCTCGGGATCCCGTCCCGGCCTCGGTTAAGAAAAAAAATCCCGACTCGGGATCCCGAAAGTGCGATTTTGCCGACCTCTAGTATTTTGTACTTAAGTGAAACTATAATATCATTCTCTATCACATCCTATTTTTGGCTGTACTTTAGCCGGTGGCCCACTCAGAAACGGTTCAAAATATATACCATTCGATTCGTCTCGGCGAGCTGAGTCGAATGGTACCATTCTTTTTATGCGGAAATTCCTACGAGCCGAGATATAGGTACTTAAAAATCGAAAAACCATAGGGGGGACCAAGCACTTTTTTGGGGTGAAAAATTCGAATATGCAAATAATAGCTCATTTGAAAGAGCTCGTAGAGCTGAGTCGATTGACACCAAAATCAACGAAATCCGACTTGATTTGACAAAGTTATGAGCATTTGTTTTAGCTCCTTACCTATGGCATCTATGGAGATTTTTGCTGCTACGGAGGCCCCAAATAAGTCCAGAGCAAGGTAGATAGGAATAGGGTTATGTTACAAGCCCAGACCCAGCGCCCGTAGACTCCCCGCGAGGCGCGTGCCGCAAAACTCCGCGCGAAGCGCGGAGTTTTGCACAAGCGCCTCGCCGCCGCCCCATAGGTTTATGTTGCTAGTTTTTTGTGTTGTAACTTTGTCTAAACTTTTTTAATCCCGGTGATTTTGGTGTCATTCGACTCAGCTTGTCGAGCTTTTTCAAATGAGCTATAATATGGTTAAAAAATTTTTAATTCCAAAAATCACCCCTTTGGATAAACAGTTTTCAGAAGCCTATATCTCAGTCCAATCAAGTCGGATTTCGTTGATTTTGGTGTCATTCGACTCAGCTCGACGAGCTCTTTCGAATGAGCTATTAATTGCATATTCGAATTTTTTACCCCAAAAAAGTGCTTGGTCCCCCCTATGGTTTTTCGATTTTTAAGTACCTATATCTCGGCTCGTAGGAATTTCCGCATAAAAAGAGTGGTACCATTCGACTCAGCTCGCCGAGACGAATCGAATGGTATATATTTTGAACCGTTTCTGAGTGGGCCACCGGCTAAAGTATATCCCTATTTTTTAGCCTCAATTAATCATTTGAAACCCTCCTCAAGAGAAGCAAGCAGATTAGTTAGTTAATCATTCTGAGTATTAAGTAAGCTTTTAAAATTAGATGCTCAGTTCAACAGCAGAAATTCCAACGAAATGGAATGCTCTCCTTATGCAATGGGGACAATTTATTGCTCATGATGTATCAAAAACAACAATGTTAAATAATCAAGTAAATTAATAAAAAAATTTTTTACGGAAATAATCGGGGGAGTTGCAATAAAACGGCTGAGGGAACCTGAAAAGGATATACTTTAGCCGGTGGCCCACTCAGAAACGGGTCAAATTATATACCATTCGATTCGTCTCGGTGAGCTGAGTCGAATGGTACCACTCTTTTTTTGCGGAAATTCCTACGAGCCGAGATATAGGTCCTTAAAAACCGAAAAACCATAGGGGGGACCAAGCACTTTTTTGGTGTGAAAAATTCGAATATGCAAATAATAGCTCATTCGAAAGAGCACGTCGAGCTGAGTCGAATGACACCAAAATTAACGAAATCCGACTTGATTGGACCGAGATATAGGCCCCTGAAATTTGGTAATCCAAAGGGGTGATTTTTGGAATTAAAAATTTTTTTAACCATAGTTCATTCGAAAGAGCTCGACGAGCTGAGTCGAATGACACAAAAATCACCATGATTGAACAAGATTAGACAAAGTTATGACACAACAAACAAAAAACCTAAACCTATGGAGCGTCGGCGAGGCGCTTGTGCAAAACCCCGCGCTTCGCGCGGGGTTTTGCGGCACGCGCCTCGCGGGGAGTCTACGGGCGCTGGGTCTGGGCTCGTAACATAAACCTATTCCTATCTCCCTTGCTCTGGACGTATTTGGGGCCTTCGTAGCAGCAAAAATCTCCACAGATGCCATAGGTACGGAGCTAAATTAAAGATCATAACTTTGTTAAATCAACTCGGATTTCGTTGAATTTGGTGTCATTCGACTCAGCTCGACGAGCTCTTTCGAATGAGATATTATTTGCATATTCGAATTTTTCGCCCCAAAAAAGTGCTTGGTCCCCCTTTTGGTTTTTCGCTTTTCAAGGACCTATATCTCGGCTCGTAGGAATTTCCGCAAAAAAAGAGTGGTACCATTCGACTCAACTCGACGAGACGAATCGAATGGTATATAATTTGACCCGTTTCTGAGTGGGCCACCGGCTAAAGTACAGCCCCTGAAAAATTTAAAAGGTTCTCTTACTGGGGTAATAGAACACCGAGCTGAGGGTTAACCCCTGTTCAAAAAATCGACCCAGAATTCGAAAAAGCTGCGTTTTACCGAACCGCATTTTTGAATAAGGTTCTGGGGTAACCTGCCCGCAGCTGAGGGTTGGTTAACCTATACCTTTTTTGCATAACGCACATGGGGATCATGAAAATTTTGACCCTGAAAAATTTGACCCAGATTTCGACCCGGACTCTTGAAAATTACGTCTGTGTATGGACTAATTAAAGTTCGTAGAAGCATTTTTGTGTATTTATTCACAGATTTGTGCAAGTTGTCTTCCAGAAGGCGGTACTTGTTTCCCTGTAATGCTTAGCCGTTTGGATCCAACGTAAATATTTCTAAAATTTATTTTAAAGTCTTTAAGTATTAATAAAATTTTGTGAGATAATATAAGATTTGGCCGTTTTCTCTGCCTTCCGGTTGCTCGCTCGTCTCCTGTAATTAAGAAAATTAATGAAAAATTTTTTTTTTAATTTCTAGGTCTGCGGAACTGGAGAAGACAATAATGTTCGTCAGCAATACAATGAAAACACAGCTTTTATTGATGGATCTATGGTAAGAATTGGTGCCTGAATCGGATCCGGCTGGATTTTTTTGGGATTCTGGGTTCAGGTCCAAATCCATACATACTAAAATTTATAGCCGCGAATGATGTTCCGGTTCCAAAAATAATAGCAACCTTCTCAAACATTATCAAACGTTTAGACAAAATCTAATGTTTATTAAAATTAAAAAAAACAATTCATATTTTTCAGAAAGGGTTAAAATTAATTTTTTTTAGTTACATAAATAACTAAAAATTAGATAATTAAACATTCAAGAGTTAATAATTTTAAATGGTAGCTCGAGATTTTTATTTCAATTTATACTTACATACTGGATTAATTCTGAGAGATCGAAACTTATATGGTCCGGCATGAGCGCAAAATTCTAATTTTTTCAAAAAAATTTTTTAAAGAAATTCAAAAAAATCAGGGTTCGGAAAAATAAATTTCCTGGGCACTATTAAGAATAATATTCAAGAATTATCTCGGCATTCTGGTAATGCATATTTTAGTAGATTATCTATTACATATGAATTATTAGAATAGATTTTTGATAATAATATTTAGTTGACATAATATTCACTTCATCTAACAATTTTTTGTCAGCGCTTAATTTTTTGGATGCCTAATATTACTTAGGCAATTAATCTGTAATATGCAGCAAAAGATACAAAATTTAAAAAATCCTAATTTACTAATTCCTAATATAATTCCTAATCTTTTAATAATGCGACCGGTCGGTTTATTTATCAACCATCCTCTAGAGGGTCGGTTTCAGTGCTGCGTGGTGGGCATGTGATGTGTCCGTCTCCGTTGTTCTAAATTCTTGACTCCGGCTCCGTCGGAGCTGGCTATCTAAGCCACACCCATCACTGATCGGTTCATTAGAGAGGATCGGTCTAACAAAGAGAGTCGCACCATTAGAAGAAATACGGTAATTATCTAAAGGTTTATGAAAGCAGCCATCGAGACCAATTTGTGTTTCGTCAAGGTGCTTTTATGAAAACAAACGTCCTTCGTTCCCGTGTATTTCCACCTGTCGACAATAATCAAAATATTATTGCTGGAGATGATAGAGCGAATATTTTTGTTGGTTTAGCTGCTTTGCATACTCTTTTTGTTCGGGAACATAATCGGTAGGTTTACGGAACAATAAATATTTTTGATAAATACCGGGGATCTAATTACAGAAAATCTCGGATTATTTTGTGTTGGCTTCCCAACATATTAATTAATAGATTGGAGTTTTGTTAATAAATATTTTTTAATTTAGCAGTTACCTTGATTTTACTTGCCACGTTTTATTTTTTGGATGCCTAATAATTCTTAGGCAATTATTTAATTTCTAGCCGCCCCAATTTCCGTCGAGTTTTTCAAGTACAAAAATTTCATAACGGATAGCCAACCCGAAGTTTTTTGTTTGGGATTTCCAAATCCTAAAATTGGGATTTTATATTTCGAATACGGACCAAACTCTATGTGGTAAGGGTAAAGGCAAGTAATGCAGTGTGAGGGCAGGGGTAAAGGAGGGGTAAGTGCAAGAGATAAATAAAAAAACGTTTACCATCTTATAAACTTTTCTACTACTTTTATTACATATATTTAAGTATTGCTTTACTTCTTCAAAAGGTTAACCCGCATTGGGACCATGACAGAATTTATTTGGAGACTAGAAGAATTGTTGGGGCTGTTATACAAGTATTTAATTATTTAAATGAGTTTAGAGAATTTTCTGTTAATTTTTAGAAAATAACATATGAAGATTATTTGCCTAGGCTTTTTGGCAAAAAATTTGATGAACTTATTGGAAACTATAAGGGATATAATCCAAAAGTTGATCCTTCTATTTTTGTAAGATTTATTAAAATTGTTAAAATTTTGTGATATTTTCTGCCTAATTATTGTCGTCGAAAACAAAAAGCCTATTGAACCGGTATTGAAAACCGGTGACTAGAACATTCTTCAAAAGTATTTGCTGAAGTTTATTACTTCATTTATTATTTATAGGATAAAAGCGGTTTCGATAAAAGCGGCCTCGAATATCCGTAAAACCGTTCTGGCCATCACATGTGGTTCCATTCCATATTCTGTCCAATAAATATTGACATAGCACAATTATAACAGAGGTTGCGCGAGGTCGAGGTTTTTCGAAAAAACCGAGACCGAGGATCATCGAGACTGAAAACGACTCGACCTCGCGCAACCTTAATTATAACTTGATGATACGAGTTTATAATCTGTTGTGTTTAGCCCTACTTTATATTAATTAATCTAACGAAGATTTTGTTTAAATAACTCGGTTTTAATGCTAAACACTATTCTTTTAATATGGTAACATTCTATTTTTGGAAGCCAATTTTTCATTGGTTAATTCGTTTAGGGCTCGTTTAGGCCTTTTTTACCATTTATTTCTTTTTTGGCCAATCTTTTGAATTTTTGTGACTATAATGCAATCTTAAATAAAAATCTCTCAAAAAATCTCGGTAATAAGGAAAGAAGTGAGAGAGTTTCGTCAGTACGCTACCTCCAAATTCTCCCATAATAATTTTTTAATTTTTTAGAATGAATTTACAAGTTGCGCATTTCGGTTTGGTCATGGAATGATTCAAGTTCCTTCCCTTTATTATTTAAATATTTAATTTTTTTAGGAGTTTTATCCTTTCTTTAATCAAGAATTTGCTCAAATTGGTAAAAAAATAAAAAAAATATTTTTAATAAATTTTTGTAATTTTTGGGTGGAATACCATTCAATGAAGGAATGTTTAAATCTGTCCATATTTTGTAAGGAAAAAATTTTTTTCGGAAATTTTTTTATTTTTTTAGAAATAATGGAATAGATCCTTTAGTAAGAGGTAATTTTAATTTTAAAAATAATTTTCAAAAAAATATTTTTTAGGTTTAATGTCATTACCTGCAAGACTGCCACAAAGACTGACTGTTTCTGTAACCGAAAAGATTTTTGGAAATTCTGATTTGGGGTAAAAGTTAAAATTAAATTAAGGAAATAAAGCGAGGACTACATATTCGGTATAGTTGGCAAAATTTTTAAACTTTTTGATATAAAGATACAATAGTAATTCCAATTTGCTCAGAAAACCATCATTTCGAGCTTAATATGAGAAATTTAAAAATAATTTTTATATTAGTTAGCTAAATCTTGTCATGTTAATATTTTCCACACCATTCTGTTTATTTTTGTAAGCTAAACAGCGTTTTAGCTATCTAATAATTTGAAACTTTAAGAAGTTACTTAACTTTAAGAAAAGAAGAAACCCTTACGTCTTTTTGTGTTTGGAATTCGATGCCTTTTTTCTTAATTTATAGACAGTTATACAAAAGCTTTAGTTTTTGTGTGTTTAATTCGTTTGTTTAATCTATCGTTTAATTTGCTCAGAGGTTTTTTTAGTGAATTTTGTAAAATTATCGTTAAATTAGCAAGCGGCAACCCAATAAAAATAGCTTTGAAAACAAAAATTTAATTAATATAAGTATTTTAATTATATACTAATGAAAAACACGCATTCTTATTTTCAATGGTTTTTCATTGTTTAATTTTATTTTAATTTTTTGGAAGCTAAGCTTTTTTTTACTTTAGCTATATTCATTAAAGATTCTTTCATAAAACCCCCTCAATTTCCAGTTCAATCAACATTCAACGAGGGAGAGACCACGGAATTCCTGGATATATTGCTTGGCGTAGTTTATGTAATTTGCCACATGTCAAAGACTTTGCTGATTTAAACACAACAATTAGTAATGAAATTGTGAGGGAAAACTTGAAAATTTTGTATAAAAAAGTTGAATTGATTGATATGTATGTTGGTGCTCTTTTAGAGGATCCTATTGAAGGGGCACTTATTGGTGGGTTTTTGAAATTTAATGTATTCGGATAACATGTGAACTGCCCGCTACCTTAGCTAATTTTTTGTTTAATGTAAAGAAATCCAAGAAAATTTCTATAAAATTTAAATCATGAAATATATAATTTAATGGCAGATTTTCGTTTGGTAATTATTTTTGTAAGCTAAACAACGCTTTAGCTATTTAATGATAAATGTTCATACAGATTCAATTTTTACAGAAATTTCTGTAAAAATTATTTTCTTCTAAGTTTTATGGGCTATCGAATGATATGTTATTATTTTGGTTAAGTGTTAAAATACATCCCCTTAGAAGAAGCAAAATTTTTTAAAATGATTTCCTAATTTTCACATTTATTTTAAAAAATTTTGTAGGTCCAACATTAGCTTGTGTTGTTTCCAAGCAGTTCAAGGCTCTAAGAGATGGTGATCGGTAAGTTTTACAAAAAATAATTTGCTTATTTATTTTAAAATTTAGCATTATTTCGAACAAATTTTTAAAAATTTTCTAAATTATAAACTAATTCACTGACCTAAGGCAACCTTGAATTTTAATGGTAAAAGTAAATAAAAATCTCGAATCAAATAATTTGAAACAAGATCGGCACTTTTCTCCCATTTTTAATCATTATTTCTTTCTGTCTCAATAGTTCGAGAGATTTTTAAGTAACACTAGTATAATTCGGAAAATAAATTTAATTTAAGGACGAGAAAAAAATTTATAGAAGATGGGAATATGCCGTTTCGATTCCCCTTTTTTAAAATCGGGAATTTAATTGTTATTTCGACACATTCCCTCTTGTCTCCCTTTCTTCTAAGAATTAAAAATTAAACTTTTGTCCTAATCTGTAATTTTTTTGTAGAATCTGCAACAAAATTTCTTAACAAATAATTTTAATAAATTATTCTTTTTTTTCACAGATTTTTCTATGAGAACCCAGACATACTTTCCAGTGAACAAATAAAACAAATAAAACGTGCAACTCTAGCTAGAATACTTTGTGATTCTGGCGATTCTATGAAAAAAGTTTGTAAAATTTGTTTTTTTAAAGTCTTTTTCAATGATGAGGAAAAATGATTTTTTGAAAGTTTTTTCACTGAGTAGAAAAGTCTAGAAATTTTTCTAAAAATTAAATTAAAAACGTCTATCTTGAAATTATAATAATAGTAGCCGTTTTTGTAACTTATTAATTAATACAATTAATTACTTATTTATTTCAATAAATTAACAGTTAATTGATCTTGTCGTCATGACTCTTAATTTTTTGGATGTCTAAATATTTAAATCAGACAAATTTATTTATTGGGACTTTAAATTTTTATCAAACTTCTGATCGGAAAAAATAGAACGTCATATTTTTAGAATTAGATTAATAAATCAAATAATTAGAAATTTTTAATTTTCGCTACCATTTAGTTTCAGGCCCAAACTTTTTAAAAATTTTTTTTGCCTAAACTGGTTTGACCGATTTCTAATTTATTCATTCAGGTACCCAGACATGCATTTAATCAAGCAAAGGCTGAAGACCTAATTAATTGTGACCAGATTGATTCACCAAATTATTTTAAATGGAAGGAGGACCAACTTGGGATTTAAATAATTTTTCTAAATAATTTTCAACTTTATTTGTCCCAATTATTATTTTCAATTTAATTTAACTCCTATACAATTCTAAAATGTTTCTCCAAGAAAACCCTACTTATATTTACGGCGCGGAAATTTTTTTTATTAAATTTTCAGTACTGTCAGTCTAGTAGAAAATAAAAACCTATGGGAGTACAAACCATTTTTAGAGAAGAATTTTTAATTATCACTGTTCCAGAATTTTTTTTTAATTTTTTTAAAATTCCAAAAAAAAATTCCAAATTCCAAAAATCCCATAATCCACAAGCTCCGTCCCGAATTCTTAGGGTGGTCTGGACAAGAATTTTATTATCTTTAAGGTTTGGGGCAGGACTAAATTATAGTGTTGGGGTTCTACGTCATTGTAGCTAGGCTAAAAATGATTTTTAGTTCTGAATCAATCCAATAAATATTTTTATAAGTACCAAATTAATTCTCTTACGGTCATATGACGAAAAATAATGTAAAGACTTTTCTCTAAAATAAACAAAATTAGGCTTTTTTAACTACTCGTGTGGTTAAATTCTCCGTCAAGACGCTCGTGTGCTTTTATAAAATCGGGATCTTCAGCTCGCGTCTTTCTTAAGATATACGCGTTATTTTTACTTGCCCAAGGATTATAATGTTTATTTTAGAGAAAATTTGGCATTTATTTATTTCATTTATTAAATACTTTAATATTTTGTACACTAATTCTTCAAATATTTTTTATAATTCCCCTCCGTCTATATTTTTGCTCAAAATTATTTAAACCCATTAAACTACTAAATAAAAATTATTTTTTTGTATTTTTCTATTAAATAATTAAAATAATTTAAATTAATTTTTGATAAAAATTTTCAATTCACATAGATTATTGAAAAAATCTTTTTATTTTGCTGTAGATTGATTAATTAATTTAATTCCGATTTCCGACACTCTGACTGTTCCGACCCAACTCTGGTCTAGGCTTAACAAAGAATTCTTTTAACTTCAGAAAATTTCAATCCAATTGTTTTGAATTATTTTTAGAGTTAGTCATTGAGTTTTTCAAGTCGATTGTGCTGAAAAAATTGCCTGGTGGCTTTGACCCCTTTGATCCCTAACCCCTTTGGGCTCTGATTGTGTTCGGCTAACCAGAACATAGTATCGCGGTATTACTAATGGCATTGGAAAAAAACCTTTTTGGAAAAAATAGTTTTTTTTTGTTATCAATCTGTAGCCTTCATATTTGTCCATATTTTTAGATTTTTTGACTATATTTTCCGATTTTTTTCGATTGGTAGGCCATATGTATAGTTCCTTATACTACTCATCAGTGTTGATTTATTAGGTGTAATCTCACATTTGAATTCCTCCTAGTTGCGAATAAATCAACCTTATGGTGAGGGTAAAATTACGTTAAGGGCCAGCTACAACATCTAAATTTAGCATTACATATCTCAAGTTGAGGAGTACTTAATTTTGTTGCGCCTACCAAAAAATTTGTTTTAAAAGATGATTAAGTAGACTTTGCTTTGCATCGTTAAATTAATTTTTTGTTAAAGCAAGCTTTAACATACAAAAATAATTTATGGAATCAAATGAAAGAAACTATTTTGATAATGTTATCAGCAAATTTATTAATAAATTTAGGAATAAATTATTATATTTGAAGCAATTTAAATTTTAATCGTATCTTTAAATTAACAATTTTTTAACTTTCAATATCTCTGTAAATTTTGGACATCCATTGGTGACCCCCGCCTGAACTTCTTAAATAATAGTAGCCTGATTTTCTATCTTATTGTTAGCTATATAATATCAATTATTTTAATTTTAATTTGAATTAATTTTGGGAAGTTTTGATAGTATATTGTCAATATAGGTGGATTGGAATATTTTTTGGAAGCTTGGCATTGTTCATAGCTACTTTATCGCTATTTTTAGTTTTACTCATTCAAAATAGCACTCCTAAATTTATTAAAAACTTTTGTTGTTTAAATAGCTATGTAAAGGAGCTTCGGCAAAACGAGCGGAATTAGGAATATTTGAAGAATCTGACTGTACTTTTGTTTCAACACATGAAGGTCAATATATTCAAAAATTTTATTTTAAGATGAAAAACACTATTTTATTCGAGTTTTCGAAAATCTAAGGTTCAAAAATCTGAGGTTCGGTTTCCCTTTAGATACCACAATTCGTCGAACAATTTCCACATCAGATGTCCGTGTAAGCAACAATGCTTTTGGTTGTTCTCCTGCATTAACTAGGCCAAATTGTAACAAAAATCTCTGCTATCATTTAAAATTCCGAACTCTAGATGGTTCGTTTATTTATTAATTTAGGGCAATTAAAAATGTTTTTTGTTGATCCCTTTCTAGGAGAAATATAATTTATTTTGTTTATAAAGTTTAATAAACATTTGGTGGATAAATGTTTAAGTAATATTTTGATCCTCTTGTTAATATTTTTGTAAGCCAGAACATCGTTCTAGGCTATATTTTTTGTAAAATTTATCTCGGTTACTTAGGTATACCCATAATATCCGTTGATGGTTTTTGCCATTACGGACAGCGATATAAACAGATTCGTATATATCCTATAATTTTTATACGCATATTGACATTAAATGTTAGAACCTTTTGCATCCATATTAGTGATGCTCGGGAGAAGAAAAAACCCGGGAATCGGGAAACGGGAGTCGGGTCGGGAAATGACCTCGGGAGTCGGGATCGGGAGTCGGGAATTAACAATAAAAAAAATTTTTGGCGCCTTTGATTTATAATTGTTGATTCCGATTTTTTGCACCATAGGCAAAAATATTGAAAATTTTGGAAGGTAAAGAAGCCTTACTAGCGCCGCAGGCGAAAATTTTGAGAATTTTTAGGTCTTGAAGTTAGATTTCTTCCATTTTTTGCGCCGCAGCCAAAAATTTTGACTCTCCTTGGAGTGAAATATCTCTTCATATCCCTCTATAGTGAACGATCTTTAAGGGTAACTTAAGAGTTTATTTCACCGATTATTTGGAAAGATAAGCCAACAGCCTGTCCAAAAAACCTTGTAACCGCAGAGATAATCAGTGTTGGGTATTGCTGGGGGCTTTTACTTTGAGCCAGAGCCTTTGATTTATAATTGTTGCCATTGACCTTAAGTCCTTAGAATCTCTCCGTTGGAATGAAATAGAGGAAAAGAGAGTGAAACAGAGAAAAATATTTTTACGTTCAATTTTGGTGGAATTTTGGTGAACTAGCCACATATCTCTTCATATCCCTCTATAGTATTAACACCCCCTGTGCAACATTAATCATCCATTGATATCTCTCTTCATTACTGCAAATCCCTTGTTGTCTCTTCAAATTCACCATAATCTTAGTAAATCACCGAAATCTTCTATACTACAACTCCACAGATTCTTCAATTTTCAGCGCCGCAGGCGAAAATTTTGAGGAATTTGGAAGATCCTTAAGCCAAAAATCTACCCTTTTCAGCGCCGCAGGCGAAAATTTTGGGAATTTTGGAAGACCAAGAGGCCAGATTTCTTCATTTTTTATAAATGAAAATATAATTTTGTCAGAAAAATCCATTCTTAGGGGTGTAAAAATTTCCCGACTTAATCGGGAATTGACACCGGGAGTCGGGATCGGGAGGCCAAAAACTCGGGAAATTTTCCCGAGTCGGGAGTCGGGATCGGGATACCCGAGCATCACTAATCCATATTATCTAACATCACTTCAGATTAAATTTATTTTGAATTTAGGAACTTGTAACAATTTGGAAAAACCCTTGTTTGGTGCGGCATTTATGCCTTTGGCTAGGTGAAAATAAATTTCTCGATAAAATAATTTTATTTAAAATTTCAAGACTAAAGGAATTTTCCCTCTCAAGAAAATTTATAGCCGCGAACAATGTTCCGGTTTCCAAAAATAATAATCTACTCTTAAAAAGAAACAAACAGTTAGACAATGTTAATGCATATTAGACAATGCTAATGCATATACTGTTAATGCATATTTTAGTAGATTATCTATTACATATGAATTATTGGAATAGAGTTTTGTATACATATTTATTTAACTTAGTAATCACATTATCTGGTATATCTTTGTCGAAGCTTAATTTTTTGGATGCCTAATATTCCTTAGGCAATTAATGTGCATTAAAAAGATTCAATATTAAAAAATTCATAAAATCATAATTCTACTATACCGTATTTCTTCTAATAATGCGACTGATTGGTTTATTTTCCAACCATCCTCTAGAGGGTCGATTTCAGTGCTGGGTATTGGGCATTTGTTGGCTCCAGTTCCGGGGTTTCAAATTCTTGGCTCCGGCTCCGGTTATCTGGCTACCGTTCCCATACCTAGCACTGGTCGCTTTATTAGAGGGGATCGGTTAAGATCTGGTGAGTTAGGATATTGTTAAGATCTGGTGAGATATGGTGAAGGATTAAGGTCTGTTGACCTCTTATTTATTTTTTTCGAAGTTAAATTGATATGTATAATTAAAGAAGATCAAATTAATCATAAAAAAATTAATATCGGCCTTAGACAAAACTTGGCACCTGCGCTTCAGCCGCTGCACTTCAGCCCAAAAATTTTTACTATTTTTTGTGTGGATCTGAATAGGGATATAGGACTACTTCCTACAAATCTTAATCTGTATATATTCAATTATATCCCACTTTAACCCCTTTAATCGCTCTAAATTCCTCGATAACGCCGAGACGTCTGGGAGAAATTTTTGGGGAATTGGGATTATTATTCATTATTGCGGCTAACTTATGGATTTTTGGACTATAAGTGAGCTGCAGCCAGCTCTACCACCGAATTCTTTCATAAAAAAATTTTTAATTCTTAGAATGAATTTACAAGTTGTGCATTTCGTTTTGGTCATGGAATGATCCAAGTGCTTTAATTTCTTTTTATTTTAAAATTTTATTTTTTTCTAGGAGTTTTACCCTTTTTTTAATCAAGAATTTGCTCAAATTGGTAAAAAAAATTAGAAAAAATATTTTTAATAAATTTTTGTTATTTTTGGGTGGAATACCATTCAATGAAGGAATGTTTAAATCTGTCCATATTTTGTAAGGCAAAAAATTTTTTTTCGAGAGAAAAATTTTTTATTTTTTAGAAATAATGGAATATGTAGATCCTTTAGTAAGAGGTAATTTTTACTAAAAAAGATTTATTTTTAAAAATAATTTTCAAAAAACACAAAGACTGACCGTTTCTGTAACTGAAAAGATTTTTGGAAATTCTGATTTGGGGTAAAAGTTAAAATTTAATTAAAGCAATAAAGCGAAGACTTCGGATTTACTCAGAAAACCACCATTTTCAGAGCTTAATATGAGAAATTTAAAAATAATTTTTATATTATCTAACTAAATCTTGCCATATTAATTATTTGGCATTATAATTTCTTTTATTTTTGTAAGCTAAACAGCGCTTTAGCTATCTAATAATTTACCATTTTAACAAGTTAGTAACTTCTTAATTTTAAGAAAAATAGCCCTTGGCTCTTTTTGTGTTGGGGAATTTGACTCTTTTTTTTATTATTTATAGACAGTTCTACATAAGCTTTAGTTTTGTGCAAATTGGGTTATTGTAAATATTCCTACCCTTAAATTTTTTCAGAGGTCTTTTGAGTAAATTTTTAAATGGTAACCCAATAAAAATACTCTTTAAAAGTAAAAATTTAATTAATATAAGTATTTCAATTATACATGAATGAAAAACACGCATTCTTTTTTTCTATGTTTTTGAGCAAAAATTTTGTTAATTTTTTGGAAGCTAAGCTTTTTTACCTTAGCTATTATTCATTAAGGATTCTTTCATAAAACCCCCTCAATTTCCAGTTCAATCAACATTCAACGAGGGAGAGACCACGGAATTCCAGGATATATTGCTTGGCGTAGTTTATGTAATTTGCCACATGTCAAAGACTTTGCTGATTTAAACACAACAATTAGTAATGAAATTGTGAGGGAAAACTTGAAAATTTTGTATAAAAAAGTTGAATTGATTGATATGTATGTTGGTGCTCTTTTAGAGGATCCTATTGAAGGGGCACTTATTGGTGGGTTTTTGAAATTTAAGGGAGAGTTTTCAAAAGTTTTTAAAAAGTTAGTATAAATGAGGTCTGCTAGGGGTGAGGGGAGAGACAATTTTTTGCAAGGCTAAAAAACGACGCAAGAAGCGATAAAAAGAAAAATAATTTAACCTAATATTAGCCAGGCCACGGCAAGCAACGCAAAACGAAAATCTAACGCAAATACCCTAACTCTATACTTCATATCGCAAAAGTATCATGCTATCGGTGTTCGGATAATACCCAATACCTTATTACTAGCTTATTACACTCGCTAACTAATTTTATGTTTAATATGAAAAATCTGAAAAAAATTAAATGAAATTTAAATTTTCAAAAATCCTTTTTTGTATAAGAAAATTTTAAGAATTTATAGGAAATATTTTTTTGTAAGCTAAACAGCGCTTTAGCTATTTAATAGTCAATGCCCGTCTCAGATGTCATTTTTCGTTAAAGGAATTTTTGGAAAAATTATTTTTTTTCTTCCAAGCTTTATGGGTTACCAATGATTTGTTAGCATTTTGGCTGATTGTTAAAAATCATCGCTTTAGAAGAAGGGAGATTTTCTCATTTAAATAAATTTTTTAGGTCCAACATTAGCTTGTGTTGTTTCCAAGCAGTTCAAAGCTCTAAGAGATGGTGATCGGTCAGTTTTACAAAAGATTAATTGCATTATTTTCTTTAAGATTTGCCATTATTTCGAACAAATTTTTAATTTTCTAAATTATAAAATAAATCTCTAACCTTAGGCAACCTTGTATTTTAATGGTAAAAGTAAATAACAATCTCAAATAACATTTAAATAATTTGAAGCAAAATTTTTTTTCTTTTCTCCCTGTCCCAATATCACGAGATTTTTAAGTAACACTAGCATAATCCCTAAACATAAATTTAATTTAAATACAAGAATAAGTTTTTTAGAAGAGGGGAATATGCCGTTTTCATTCCCCATTGCTAAAATCGGGAATTTATTTTCTATTTCGGCACATTACATTTTGTGTTACTTAAAAATTGCCCAAACATTATCCCCTTTTCTTCCGAGAATTAAAAATAACTTTTGCCCTTATCTGTAAATTTTCTCGTAGAATTTACAACAAAATTTCTAAACTAATAATTTTATTAATTTTCTTTCCACAGATTTTTCTATGAGAACCCAGACATACTTTCCAGTGAACAAATAAAACAAATAAAACGTGCAACTCTAGCTAGAATACTTTGTGATTCTGGCGATTCTATGTAAAAAGTTTGTAAATTTGTTTTTTAAATTTTTTTTAATGATTAGGAAATAAAATCTGGAAATTTTCCAAAAAAGTAAAACAACAAATTTTAAAAACTAGATTAAAAACGTCTATCTTGAAATAATAAATAATAGCTATTTTTGTAACTTATTAATTAATACAATTAATTAATTATAATTTGTTTTAGTAAATTAACAGTTAAAGAATATGTAGGACTATCGTTTAATTTTTTGGATGTCTAAATATTTAAATTAGACAAATTTATTAATTGTGTCCTTAAATTTTTATCTAACTAGTGATCGGAAAAATAGAAAATCAGATTCATAGACGTTCGATTCTTAAATCGAATAATTTGAAATTTTTATTTTGGCTATCAGTCAAGTTTCAAACCCAAACTTTAAAAATTTTTTTTGTCTAAACTGGTTTGATCGATTTCTAATTAATTCTTTCAGGTACCCAGACATGCATTTAATCAAGCCAAGGCTGAAGACCTAATTAATTGTGACCAGATTGATTCACCAAATTATTTTAAATGGAAAGAGGACCAACTTGGAATTTAAATAATTTTTCCAAATAAATTACAATTTTATATGTCCCAATTATTAATTTCAATTTAATTTATATAATTCTAAAATCCAGAAAACCTTACCTATGGGAGTACAAACCATTTTTAGAGCCGAATTTTTAATTATAACTGTTTTGGACATCCAAAAATTTGCAGAATATACCAGCTTTGCCCCAAATGTTTAAGTTGTTTCTGGACAAAAAGTTTTCATTAGTTTCGAGATGGGTTAAGACAAACTTAAAGCTTGGGGTTCCTCGTCGTTGTACTCTAGGTTAAAAATGATTTTTAGTTTCAAATCAATCCAAAACACATTTCTGTTAGTATCAAATTAATTCCCGTACGGTCATATGACAAAAAAATGTAACAACCTTACTCTAAAATAAACAAAATTGGGCTTTTTTTAACTACTCGTATGGTTAATTTCTTCGCCATGACGCTCGTGTGCTTACATAAAATGGGCATCTTTAGCAAAGATTAGGGTTGCCAGCTCGCTCGACTCGAAACTCGAAGGATCGAGCGATCCGAGGCTTTTCAGCTCGAAAGCGAATCGAAAAAACCCATGCTCGAAAAATATGCATCGAACGTCGGCTCGAACCGAAAACGGCAACCCTATTTCAAAGATGAAATAATTTTGTTTTTTTATTTTATTTAAATCACTCACGTCTTCGCAAGACGTCTGCGTGATTTTTAAGTAGCCAATCATTATAATGTTTATTTTAGAGAAAATTTGGCATTTATATTTATTTCATTTATTAAATACTTTAAAATTTTGCATACTAATTTTTTAAATATTTTTTTACAATTCCCCTCCGTCTAAATTTTTGCTCAAAATTATTTAAACCCATTAAACTAAATAAAAATTAATTTTTTTGTATTTTTCTTTTCTAATAATTAATTAAAATAATTTAAATTAATTTTTGATAAATTTTTCAATCCACTTAAATTATTGAAAAAATCTTTTTATTTTGCTTTAGATTGATTAATTAATTTAATTCATTTTTTCCTTCCGATTTCCGAAAAAAATTTTGATTTCCGATTTCCATGTTCCGACTTTTTAGCCAGTTCCGATTTCCGACACCTCTGACTGAATCGACCCAACTCTGGTCTAGGCTTAACAAAGAATTCTTTTAACTTCATAAAATTTCAATCCAATTGTTTTGAATTGCGAACAAATCAACCTTATGGTGAGAATAAAAACGTTAAGAGCCAGCTGCTCATCTAAATTCAGCATTACTTATCTCAAGTTGAGTAGTACCTAATTTTGTAATGTCTACCAGAAATTTGTTTTAAAAGAGGATCAAATAGAGTTAGCTTCGCTTCTTTAAATTTATTTTTTGTTAAAGCAAGCTTTAACATACAAAAATACCAACATTGAATAGTCTTTAATGAACGTACATTACATAACATATCAGCAAATTTATTAATAAATTTAGTAATAAATTATTATATATGAAGCAATTTAAATTTTAGTCGTATCTTTAAATTAACAATTTTTTAAATTTAGATAACTTGATTTTTACTAAAAATTACCAGAATTAAAATTATTTTTTTATAATTAAAATCTCTGTAAATTTGGACATCCATTGGTGAATGTAAAAATAGTAAGGATTGGACCTGTTAGTTGAGATGTTTGTACTAATGGTAAAAATGATAAATATTTTTTTGAATGAGGGGAAGTATAATAGTATATTTAAAGGATCATCAGTCTGTGTCGATCGTCATCGTCTTTGTGATTTTTGGGCAGAAGGAATGTGAAACAAATGCTGTTTGGATGCATGTAAATTGTCCTCGTATGAAACAAATAAGATGACAAAAAAACAATTAAGATGACAAAATTAAGATGACAAAGAATTTTTTTTAAATTTATTTCATAACTCGGAGCTTATTTGTTCATAAACACTGAATAATCAGAAATTATCCTAGTACCCCGCCCTTACTGATGAATTCTTAGGGATTAGGACTTTAAACTCGTCCTCTTGTTATTTGAAGCAAAATTTACGGACGTGCAATTAGAGCATGTATTTTTTATGACCCCCACCCACGATTGAGCTTCTTAAATAATAGCAGCCTGATTTTATATCTTAGCTACTTAATATTAATTATTTTAACTTTGATTTGAATTAATTCTGGGAACTTCTGATAGTATATTGGCAAATGGGGAATTTACGGCCTATTTTTTGGAAGCTTGACATCGTTCATAGCTAATTTGTGGCTTTATTTGTTTTGTCCATTCAAAACACAAATTTAATAAAAAAAAATTGTTTTTTAAATAGCTATGTAAAAGAACTTCGCAAAACGAGCGTTAAATATTTATGATTAAATATTCCTTTAGTTCCGATGACAGCAGAGGAAATTCAAGAAGTTCGCGCATTTATCTTGGAACAGAAAAAGATGAAGCAAGCTGCAATGGCGCGACGAAAGCGTTCAACGGAAGGCCAAGGTGCCAGATTTCCTCCCTTTTAAGCGCCGAAGGCATGTAGTAATATCTATTAAGCCCTCGATTTCTCTTCAAATCCAACTAAATCGCTGTAAATCCTCCGATATCCTTCTCATAATTAACCATCAAGGGTTTATAATGTTAAATGATAGCATAGATTTTTGTTACAATTTATACTTACATTCCGGATTAAATCGAGAAATCAAGTTTGATACGGTCCGACATGAGCGCGAAATTCTAATTTTTTTCAAAAAAATTTTCAAGAAATTCAAAAAAAGTAGGGTTTATGAAAAATTATTTTTTCGGGCACTATTAAGAATAATATCTAAAAATTATTGAGACATTCTGGCAATGCATAGATTATTTATTACATATGAATTATTGCAATAGATTTTTGTTAATAATATTTATTTAACATAGTGATAACATCTTCACAGTTTCAAGAACTAAATTTTTTGGATGCCTAATATTTCTTAGGCAAATAATATGCAATAAAAAATACAAAATTTAAAAAATCGTGATATACTAATTCCTAATACATATACAGTATTTGTTCTAATAGTGTGACCGGTCTGTGTATTATTCTAACCATACTCTAGGCGGTCGGTTTCAGTGCTGGGTATCGGGCATTTGTCGGGTCCGGCTCCGTTGTACCAAATTCTTGACTCCGGGCCGGAGCTCCCATATACATATTTAAAATTATTTGAAGCCATACCCAGCACTGGTCGCTTTATTAGAGGGGATCGGTCTAATGGAGAGAGTCGCACTATTAGATAAATACAGTAATAATCAAAAGGTTTATGGAAGCAGCCATCGAGACCAATTTGTGTTTCGTCAAGGTGCTTTTATGAAAACAAACGTCCTTCGTTCCCGTGTATTTCCACCTGTCGACAATAATCAAAATATTATTGCTGGAGATGATAGAGCGAATATTTTTGTTGGTTTAGCTGCTTTGCATACTCTTTTTGTTCGGGAACATAATCGGTTGGTTTATGAAAAGTAAATTATTTTGTCGATAAGTACAAGGGATCTATCCGTATGGATAACCGAATTGAATTTATTTATGTGATCCCTTCGTATTAATTAATAGAGTAGAGTTTTGTTAATAGTATTTTTACTTTTATCCATCAAGACAATTTCAAAGCCTCCATTATATTTTTTGGGTGCCTAATATTCTTAGGCAATTAATTACTGACTAATTTAACACGGACAAAGAGAATTTTTTGATATTTCGTCACAATATTTACTTTTATAGTTCCTCAAAAGAAATAACACAAACCCTCATGATTTTGCGAGTTTGTCGTTGTTGCACCAAGAGTGCAACTATAAGAAGTTCGCTGGATCCTTATGTCCTAAACTTTTCTGGTTGAATAAGACCAACTCTACCTATAAGTCACACCCTTTTTAAAAATTCTTCAACAATAATTTAGTTCATTTTGAAGTATTGCTTTGCTTCTTCAAAAAGTGAATCCTCATTGGGACCACGATAGAATTTATTTGGAGACTAGAAGAATTGTTGGGGCGGTTATACAAGTATTTAATTATTAAATGATTTTAGAGAATTTTCTGTTAATTTTCAGAAAATAACATATGAAGATTATTTGCCTAGGCTTTTTGGCAAAAAATTTGATGAACTTATTGGAAAATATAAGGGATATAATCCAAAAGTTGACCCCTCTATTTTTGTAGGTTTTATTTAAATAAATAGATTAATTTTTGGGGTATTTTTTACTTTATAGTAATTAATTTAACTATGGTCTTATTTAAATTTCTAGGCTTTTTCCATATTATGTGGGCATTCTTCGAGACAAAACGTCTATTTTTGGAAGCCAAGATATATGTAGTTGGCTAATTTGTTCAAGCAAACTAATTTGTAAGGGATATTTCTAGAATACCTGGGTCTTTTTTGGCTACTATTTTGATTTTTTGGAAATCTCGATAATAGGAAAATAAGGGAGAGAGTATCGAGATTACTCTACCTCCAAATCCTTTAATAAATTTTTTTAATTTTTTAGAATGAATTTACAAGTTGCGCATTTCGGTTTGGTCATGGAATGATTCAAGTTCCTTCCCTTTATTATTTAAATATTTAATTTTTTTAGGAGTTTTATCCTTTCTTTAATCAAGAATTTGCTCAAATTGGTAAAAAAATAAAAAAAATATTTTTAAATAATTTTTGTTATTTTTGGGTGGAATACCATTCAACGAAGGAATGTTTAAATCTGTCTATATTTTGTAAGGCAAATTTTTTTCGAGAAAATTTTTTTTATTTTTTAGAAATAATGGAATAGATCCTTTAGTAAGAGGTAATTTTTACTAAAAAATTTTATTTTAAAAGTAATTTTCAAAAAAAAAATATTTTTTAGGTTTAATGTCATTACCTGCAAGGCTGCCACAAAGACTGACTGTTTCTGTAACAGAAAAGATTTTTGGAAATTCTGATTTGGGGTAAAAGTTAAAATTAATTAAAGAAATAAAGCAAAGACTTTTTGAGTTGGGTATTCTTGTCTATTTTTGACAAATATTTTCAAAATTTTTGATATAAAGTTACAATAGTAATTCCAATTTGCTCAGAAAACGCTATTTTTCGAGTTTAATATGAGAAATCTAAAAATAATTTTTATATTACTTAAATAAATCTTGTCATATAAAATTACCTTTACATCATTTTCGTTTATTTTTGTAAGCTAAACAGCGCTTTAGCTATCTAATAATTTAGAATTTTAAGAAGTTAGTAAAATTGACGGCTTAGTTTAAAGAAAAATTCCCTTTGCTCTTTTTTTTGTTGGAAAATTCGAAGCCTTTTTGTTAATTTAAAAAACCCAATAAAAATAGCTTCAAAAATAAAAATTTAATTAATATAAGTATTTGAATTATATACTAATGAAAAAAGCGCATTCTTATTTTCAATGTTTTTTAATTGCTTTTAATTTTTTTTAATTTTTTGGGAGCTAGGCTTTTTACCTTAGCTATTATTCATTAAAAGACTCCTTCATAAAACCCCCTCAATTTCCAGTTCAATCAACATTCAACGAGGGAGAGACCACGGAATTCCTGGATATATTGCTTGGCGTAGTTTATGTAATTTGCCACATGTCAAAGACTTTGCTGATTTAAACACAACAATTAGTAATGAAATTGTGAGGGAAAACTTGAAAATTTTGTATAAAAAAGTTGAATTGATTGATATGTATGTTGGTGCTCTTTTAGAGGATCCTATTGAAGGGGCTCCTATTGGTGGGTTTTTGAAATTTAAGGGAGAATTTTCAAAAGTTTTTTCAGTCTGCTAAGGGGTTCCCGAAAATCGTGAATTCAAAATTTTCGAGAATTCACGTTCCCGATTCACGATATTTTTTTGAAAATCGGGAATTTTATTAATTATGGGATCTAAAAAGTGAAAAATCTGATGACTTTGTCTTCCTTATTTGGCAAAAATTTGAAGAATTTTTGAAGTCCAAATCACCATATTTCCTCCCTTTTAGATCCCATAATTAATAAAAATTCCCGATTTTGATTGAAAAAATGAAGTAATCTGGTGACTTCATTCACCCGCTACCTAATTTTATGTTTAATATGAAAAATCTAAAAAATCTTTATAGAATTTAAATCTTGAAATATCAATATTAGTAGTGATAATTTTTTGCGTTGATTATTTATTTTTGTAAGCTAAACAACGCTTTAGCTATTTAATGGTAAATGCCCATCTCAGATTCAATTTTTTCGTTAAAGAAATCAAAAAAATTTTTCCTTCTAAGTTTCAAGGGTTATCAAATGATTTGTTAACATTTTGGCTAAGTGTTAAAAAATGATCCCCTTTAGAAGATGAATGACCTAATTTTCACAGTTATTTTTAAAAATTTTTAAGGTCCAACATTAGCTTGTGTTGTTTCCAAGCAGTTCAAGGCTCTAAGAGATGGTGATCGGTCAGTTTTACAAAAGATTAATTACCGTATTTCCTTCAGGATTAGGCATTATTTTGAACAAATTTTTAAGAATTTTTTAAATTATAATATAAATCTCAGACCTTAGGCAACTTTGAATTTTAATGGTATCGACACCAAGAATGACGAATTACCCAAAGTATCGAAACCATATGATCAACTCTAAATCTTTTAAATTTCATTATAAAACATTGGGAAGTTTTTTCAATGACGTGGAAGCTTATTTTGATCAAATTTTTCAATTGGTCAACTGAGACTGGGGTCCCCCCCCATTTTCGAAATTGAGAATTTATTTTTTACGTCGGCTCATTATTTCACTTCTCCCGAGAATTAAAAAATTGAATTTTTGTCATAATCTGTAAATTTTCATCTATAATTTACAACAAAATTTCTCAACTAATAATTTTATTAAATTATTCTCTTTTTTCACAGATTTTTCTATGAGAACCCAGACATACTTTCCAGTGAACAAATAAAACAAATAAAACGTGCAACTCTAGCTAGAATACTTTGTGATTCTGGCGATTCTATGAAAAAAGTTTGTAAATTTGTTTTTTGAAAGCTTTTTCACTGATTAGATAAAGTCTAGAAATTTTTCAAACATTTAAATTTTAACAAATTTTAAAAATTAAATTAAAAACGTCTATCATGAAATAATAAAAATAGCTTTTTTTGCAACTTATTAATTACTACAATTAATTACTTATAATTTATTTTAATAAATTAACAGTTAATTGTTCGGTGCAATATCAGTTGCTTTTAATTTTTTGGATGTCTAAATATCTAAATTAGACAAATTAATTAATAAGGACCTTAACTTTTTATTCAACTAGTGATCGGAAAAATAAAAAAATCAGTTTCTTAGACAATTTATTTTTAAATCAAATAATTTTAAATTCATTATTTTGGTTACCAGTCAAATTTCAAACCCAAACTTTTTAAAAAATTTTACCTAAACTTTGTGTTGACAAATTTCTAATTAATTCTTTCAGGTACCCAGACATGCATTTAATCAAGCAAAGGCTGAAGACTTAATTAATTGTGACCAGATTGATTCACCAAATTATTTTAAATGGAAGGAGGATCAACTTGGGATTTAAATAATTTTTCTAGATAATTTACAATTTTATTTGTCCAAATTATTATTTTCAATTTAATTTAACTCCTATATAATTCTAAAATGTTTCTCCAATAAAAACTTTACCTATATTTACGGCGCGTGAATTTTTTTATTGAATTTCCACTACTGACCAGTAAGTTGTAAAAACCTATGGGAGAATCAATCATTCTTAAAGCCGAATTTTTAATTATGACTTTTACAGATATCCAAAAATTCCCAGAATCCAATAGCCCTGGCCTGAATTCTTAGGGTGGTCTGGACAAGAACTTGCCATTATCTTTGGGGTTTGGGTCAAGACAAAATTATATTGTTGGGGGTCTCCGTCATTGTAGCTAGGCTAAAAATGATTTTTAGTTCCGAATCAATCCAATAAATATTTTTATAAGTACCAAATTAATTCTCTTTCATATGACAAAAAATAATGTAACAACTTTTCTCTAAAATAAACAAAATTAAGTTTTCTTTTAACTACTCTTATGGTTAAATTCTCCGACAAGAGAGAATTTAAATTCTCCGACAAGAGAGAATTTAAATTCTCCGACAAGAGAGAATTTAACCCCCCTTCACCCTCCCCACCGTTGAGAAAAATCGGTATCTTCAGCAAAGACGAAATTTTTTTATTTTTTATTTTATTTAAATCACTCACGTCTTTCGCAAGACGTGTACGTTATTTTTAAGTAGCCGAAGCATTATAATGTTTATTTTAGAGAAAATTTGGCATTTATTTATCTTATTAATTAAATACTTTAAAATTTTCTACACTATGTAATCCTTAAAATATTTTTTATAATTTCCCTCCGTCTAAATTTTTGCTCAAAATTATTTAAACCCATTAAACTAAATAAAAATTAATTTTTTTTTTGTATTTTTTTTTTCGAATAATTAATTAAAATAATTTAAATTAATTTTTGATAAAAATTTTCAATTTACATAGATTATCGAAAATCTTTTTATTTTGCTTTAAATTAATTGATTTATCCAGTGCGCAAAGCGCACTGGATAAGGCAAATGCTAAGAAAATCGCAATGTGGGCGCTGGGTCTGGGCTTGTAAAATAACCCTATTCCTATCTCCCTTGCTCTGTACGTATTTGGGGCCTCCGTAGCAGCAAAAATCTCCACAGATGCCATAGGTAAGGAGCTAAAACAAATGCTCATAACTTTGTCAAATCAAGTCGGATTTCGTTGATTTTGGTGTCATTCGACTCAGGTCGTCGAGCTCTTTCGAATGAGCTATTATTTGCATATTCGAATTTTTCACCCCAAAAAAGTGCTTGGTCCCTCCTATGGTTTTTCGATTTTTAAGTACTTATATCTCGGCTCGTAGGAATTTCCGCAAAAAAAGAATGGTACCATTCGACTCAGCTCGCCGAGACGAATCGAATGGTATATATTTTGACCCGTTTCTGAGTGGGCCACCGGCTAAAGTAAGCCAAAGTTAATAATAATTATTAAAGAAAGTGCAAAAAATAGGAATTATAGCCTGCGGGTGTGAAAAGGAGAAGGATATTAGCTGCGCTACACAAATCGCCAAACAGGATAAACAACCGCCGCTTAATTATTATTTTTAGAGAATTAAATAAAAATATAAAATTTATAATAATTAAGCGGCGTTGCGACACTCATGATCAAAAACAATTAAAACAAATTTTTAAATAATTAATTTTTCTAAATTTTCCTCTCCTCTAGATTTGGCAAACGTCTTGATTTTTTTGCACTTGTTTATTTTTTGGGTGCCTAATATTTCTTAGGCAATTATTTATTGCCTATCAGACCAAATTTCTTCGAGTTTTTTTAAATACAAATATGAATAAAATTTTTAAAATTTTATAACGGGTAGCAACCCGTTGTTTTTTGTTCGAGATTTCCAAACCTAAAATTGTGATTTTATATTTCGAATTCGGACTAAACTCTATATGGTAAGGGTAAAGCAGGGTAAGGGCAAGAGATAAATGAAAAAAAACGTTTACCATTTTATTATAAACTTTTCTACCTACTTTTAAGTATTGCTTTACTTCTTCAAAAAGTTAACCCGCATTGGGACCATGACAGAATTTATTTGGAGACTAGAAGAATTGTTGGGGCTGTTATACAAGTATTTACATAGTTAAAAGATTTTAGAGAATTTCTGTTAATTTCAGAAAATAACATATGAAGATTATTTGCCTAGGCTTTTTGGCAAAAAATTTGATGAACTTATTGGAAAATATAAGGGATATAATCCAAAAGTTGACCCCTCTATTTTTGTAGGTTTTATTTAAATAGATTAATTAATTTTTGGGGTATCTTCTACTTTATAGTAATTAACTTAACTATTGTTTTATTTAAAATCTTCGTTTTTGCCATATATTGTGACGTTCTGCCAGATAATGACTCATTTTTTGGAAGCCAAGTTATATTTGGCTAATTCGTTTAAGCAAACTAGTGAACATTTCTCTCTCGATGGCTTCCGAACAATTTGATAAAATTCAATAACCTACTGCAGTCCACAATTTTTACTATTATTTGTGTGGATTTGAGGAGGGATATGATGAACCGGGTTACCCGAAACCCAATCCGACTTTTTTCTCAATCCGGCACATTTCTGATAGGAATACCTCAAACAAATCGTCTAAATCCGTATATATTCCTTGATATCCCACTTAATCCCCTTTACTCGCCCCAAATTCCTCGATGTCCCCAAGACTTCCGGGAGGATTTTCTCGGTGAATTGGGATTATTATTCATTTTATCCCGTCTAACCTTGTGAATTTTTAAACTATTCATGAGTTACATCCAACTCTTCCACCAAATTATTTAAGAAAAAATTTTTCTAACTTTAAGAATGAATTTACAAGTTGTGCATTTCGGTTTGGTCATGGAATGATTCAAGTTCCGTCCCTTTATGATTTAAAAATTAAAAAAATTTTTTTAGGAGTTTTATCCTTTCTTTAATCAAGAATTTGCTCAAATTGGTAAAAAATTAAAAAAAAATTTTTTAATAAATTTTTGTTATTTTTGGGTGGAATACCATTCAATGAAGGAATGTTCAAATCTGTCCATATTTTGTAAGAAAAAATTTTTTCAGAAATTTTTTTTTATTTTTTAGAAATAATGGAATAGATCCTTTAGTAAGAGGTAATTTTACTAAAAAAAATTTTTTTTTAAATAATTTCCAAAAAAATATTTTTTAGGTTTAATGTCATTACCTGCAAGACTGCCACAAAGACTGACTGTTTCTGTAACTGAAAAGATTTTTGGAAATTCTGATTTGGGGTAAAAGTTAAAATTTAATTAAACCAATAAAGCGAAGACTTTTTGAGTTGGGTACTCTTGTCTATTTTTGACAAATATTCTTAAACTTTTTGATATAAAGACAAGATATTATTTCTCATCTATTTCTAAAACGACCATTTTCTGAGCTTAATATGAGAAATCTAAAAATAATTTCCTAATACATATTACTTAACTAAATCTTGTCATATTCATTTTCTTGCGCATTATAATGTTTATTTTTGTAAGCTAAGCAGCGCTTTAGCTATCCAATAATTTACAATTTTAAGAAGTTAGTAAAAAAGGTACTTTTCTGTATAAAGATACTTTTCCGAACTTACATAATATGAGAAATCTAAAAATAATTTTTATATTACTTAACTAAATCTTATCATGTTGATTTTCCACACTATTATTTTTATTTTTGTAAGCTAAACAGCGCTTTAGCTATCTAATAATTTGCAATTTTAACAAGATTTTTCGAACTTAGTTTTTTCGAACTATAATTTTAAGATTAGGAATAATGAAGAGTTGTTTTAATTAATAAAATTCTGAAAATTTAAACAGATTTATTATTTAACCGAAAATTTCCATGACCAAAGACTTGGACTATGGGGAACTATTATGTCATTGGGTTATTGTATTTCTACTTTTAAATTTCCTCAAAGGTCTTTTGAGGGAATTTTGTAAAATTATCATTAAATTGGCAAGCGACAGCCCAATAAAGCTTTAAAAATAAAAATTTAATTAATATAAGTATTTAAATTATATTCGAATGAAAAACACGGTTTCTTTTCTTCAATGTTTTTTTTCTTATTTTTTTTAATTTTTTGGAAGCTAAGCTTTTTTTACCTTAGCTATTAAAAGATCCCTTCATAAAACCCCCTCAATTTCCAGTTCAATCAACATTCAACGCGGGAGAGACCACGGAATTCCTGGATATATTGCTTGGCGTAGTTTATGTAATTTGCCACATGTCAAAGACTTTGCTGATTTAAACACAACAATTAGTAATGAAATTGTGAGGGAAAACTTGAAAATTTTGTATAAAAAAGTTGAATTGATTGATATGTATGTTGGTGCTCTTTTAGAGGATCCTATTGAAGGGGCTCTTATTGGTGGGTTTTTGAAATTTAAGGGAGAATTTTCAAAAGTTTTTACAAAAGTTAATATAAAGGAGGTCTGCTAGGGGATGCAACTAAAGCCAAAATTTAGCGCAGATAATCCAAAGGTTATCGCCATTTAGGCGCCCGCCACTTATCCGCTACATAAATTACATCAACTATTTCTTGAATCGCTATCGGACTTCGTATTGCAAAAGATATCCCGGTTTCGGCGCTCGGATAACACCCGCTACCTTACTAATTTTATGTTTAATATAAAAAATCTAAAAAAATTTCTATAAAATGTAAATTTTGAAAATTCTTTTATGTATGTATAAGAAAATTTTTTACGAAATAATTTTTTGTAAGCTATACAACGTTTTAGCTATTTAACGGTAAATGTCCATCTCATAATCCATTTTTCGTTAAAGAAATTTCTGTAAAAATTATTTTTTTATCTTATAAGTTCCATGGGTTTTCGAATGAATTGTTAATATTTTGGCTAAGTGTCTAAAAAATCACCTTCTTTTGAAGAAGAAAGAGTTTAAAATCATTTTCTAATTTTCACATTTATTAAAAAATTTTTTTAAGGTCCAACATTAGCTTGTGTTGTTTCTAAGCAGTTCAAGGCTCTAAGAGATGGTGATCGGTAAGTTTTACAAAAGATTATAATTACCTTATTTCCTTTAATATTACGGTAATATTAAGAACAAATTTTTAAGAATTTTCTAAATTATAAGATAAATCTCTGACCTTAGGCAGGTATAATTAAATAAATCTCAAATATCATAAAAATAATTTGAAACAATATCGGCTCTTTTCTCCCATTTTTATCATTTTTTCTGTCGCAATATCTCGAGATTTTGCAGTAACACTAACATTATCATTAAAAAATTTAATTTAACGAAGAGAAAAAGTTTTTTTAAAGAGGGGAATTTGCCGTTTTGATTCCCCATTTCCAAAATCGGGAATTTATTTTTTTATTTCTGTACATTCCCTCATGATTTGATCAATCCAAACATTCTTCCCCTTTTTCTTCCAAGAAATAAAAATTAAACTTTAGTCCTAATCTGTAAATTTTCTAGCATAATTTACATAAAAATTTCTAAACAAATAATTTTACTATATTTTTTTCACAGATTTTTCTACGAGAACCCAGACATACTTTCCAGTGAACAAATAAAACAAATAAAACGTGCAACTCTAGCTAGAATACTTTGTGATTCTGGCGATTCTATGAAAAAAGTTTGTAATTTGTTTTTCAAAGGCTTTTTCAATGAGTAGAAAATAAAATCTGGAAATTTTCCAAAAAATTAAATTTTAACAAATTTTAAAAACTAAATTAAAAACAATTATCTTTAAATTATAAAAAAGTAACTATTTTTGTAACTTATTAATTAATACAATTAATTATTTATAATTTATTTTAATAAATTAACAGTGAAATACTTTAACCATATGAAGCTTCTTAATTTTTTGGATGTCTAAATATTTAACTTAGACAATTTTATTAATTGGGACTTTAAATTTTTATCCAACTAGTGATCGAAAAATAAAAAAATCAAATTCTTAGACATTCGATTCTTAAATCAAATAATTTTAAATTTTGGCTGCCAGTCAAATTTCACATCCAAACTTTGATAAAATTTTTTGACCTATTTCTAATTTATTTCTTAAGGTACCCAGACATGCATTTAATCAAGCAAAGGCTGAAGACCTAATTAATTGTGACCAGATTGATTCACCAAATTATTTCAAATGGAAGGAGGACCAACTTGGGATTTAAATAATTTTTCTAAATAGAAATTAATCTACAATTTTATTTATCCCAATTATTATTTTCAATATAATTTAACTCATACAATTCTAAAATGTTTTTCCAATGAAAAATTTTACCCATTTTACGGCGCGTAATTTTTTTTATTAAATTTTCACCATTGACCAGTAAATTATAAAAACCTATAGAAGAACCAATCATTTTTAGAGCCGTATTTTTAATTATCACTGTTCCAGATATCCAAAAATTCCCATAATACACCAGCTCCGTCCCGAATTTTTAGGGTGGTCTGGACAGGAGATTTTATTATCTTTGGGGTTTGGGGCATGAAGGACTAAATTATATTGTTGGGGGTAGGCTAAAAATGATTTTTTCATTTCCGAATCAATCCATTAAAAATATTTTTATATGTACCAAAATAATTCTCTAACTTTCATATGACAAAAAATAATGTAACAACTTTTCTCTAAAATACATAAACAAAGTTGAGCTTTCATTTAAGTACTCGTATGGATAAATTCTCCAACAAGACGCTCAGCGACGCTCGTGTGCTTAAATAAAATCGGCATCTTTAGCAAATATGAAATTTTTTTGTTTTTTATTTTATTCAAATCACTCGCGTCTTTCTTAAGATATACGCGTTATTTTTAACTAGCCCAAGGATTATAATGTTTATTTTAGAGAAAATTTGGCATTTATTTTTTTCACTTATTAAATACTTTAAAATTTTGTATACTAATTTTTAAAATATTTTTTATAATTCCCCTCCGTCGAAATTTTTGCTCAAAATTATTTAAACCCATTAAACTAAATAAAAATTAATTTTTTTTATTTTTCTATTAAATAATTAATTAAAATAATTTAAATTATTTTCGATAAAAATTTTCGGTACTTATTTAGTTTCCCCCCCACCCCCCCCAGTCAGTTTTTTCAAAAATTATGTAAAAATGGTCAGTCTGAACAACAATTGTAGAACCCATCGAGCTGTGTCGAATGACACCAAAATCAACAAAATCCGACTTGATTTGACCGAAATACAGACCCCTAAAAATTGAACAACCATGGGGGTGATTTTTCGAAATAAAAAAAGTTTACCCAAAATGATAGCTCATTCGAAAGAGCTCGTCGAGCTGAGTCGCGTCACCAAAATCAATGAAATCGGACAAGATTTGACAAAGTTGACACCAAAATCAATGAAATCGGACAAGATTTGACAAAGTTATGACATTATTTAGACCTACCGGAGTCGACGACTTATGTCATAACTTTGTCAAATCAAGTCGGATTTCGTTGATTTTGATCTCATTCGACTCAGCTCGACGAGCTCTTTCGAATGAGCTATCATTTGTATAGATTTTCGTCTTTATGATTTTGTGCCCCTGTGGTTTAGGGGTCTGTATTTCGGTCAAATCAAGTCGGATTTTGTTGATTTTGGTGTCATTCGACACAGCTCGATGGGTTCTACAATTGTTGTTCAGACTGACCATTTTTACATAATTTTCGAAAAAACTGACTGGGGGGGGGGAAACTAAATTAGTACCAAATTTTCAATCCACTTAAATTATTGAAAATCTTTTTATTTTACTTTAGATTAATTAATTAATTTAGGATTTTATTTATTTTTTTATTGAAGGACATCAATCCAATAACTTCTTTGTTGACTGTATGTATATTTTTGGAAGCCCTTCCTACTTGGGCTAATTATCAGGATTTTTGTTAATTTTCAATCTTCTTAGATTTTTTGTCTTTGACTCTGTTTCATCACTATTTTATCATATCCCATTGAAAAAGCATCGATATTTTTTGAAATTTTTAGATTCTTCTAATTTAACAGAAAGGTAGGTATATTATTCTTATTTATATTCTGGTATTCCTTTTAAACATATTAAATTTACAAATTTTATTGTTATTTATGATAATTTTTATAATGAATCTTGTTGATCGTGAATTGCATCAATTATTTTTGAATGCTTTGATAAATACAAGGCTAAAAATTACAAGAATATTAATTGGATGCGAATCTTTAAAGATAGGAGGTATATGTAGAATGTTCGTGGGTAGCAAATCATATTTATACGTAAATTTGTCCTCTAGTTTGGTCTAGTAAAAACGTTTTTTTAAAAATTTGCCCTTCAAGTTTGTGTGCCACTTATAATGGCAAGAATAACAAGTAGACTATAAATCAGCACTCTCCGCTGGAATCATATGTAGTTATTGAGCTCAAAGATTATTTTTAAATTTAAATGTTTTGATGGTCACCTATTCATAATGATCTGATTTAAATGGATTCCCATATCTCTTTATGACACCGTCAGGTTCTGGTTAGAGTTCGGCACAGTTCGATACTAATTTTGTATCGTCTAAAAGATTTGTTTTAAAGATGATTAAATGCCTACATCACCTTTTAAATAATATTAACCATCTAAACTGAATCTTGTGTTAAATAATGGAGCTAATATAATTGAAATGTGAATTTGATAAGTATTTAGTGAATTTTTGATAAAATTTAGTAAATTTATTTGGATTTTGGAAATCTATATGGGTCTATAAAAACCGAAGTAATCCTCGGACCTCGGCCAAAATTTTCCCCTCGATCTCGGGTTTTTCAGCCTTGGTGATCTTCGGTCTCGGTTTTTGCAAAAAACTCGACCTTGACCTACTCTACTTTAAATTAATTTTTTGTTAAAGCAAGCATTAACATTCAAAAATACTCAGCCCAAAGAAAACTGGAATTTTGATAATATTATCAACAAATTTACTAATAAATTTAGGAATATACATATTATTTTATATGTAGCAATTTAAATTTTACCCGTATCCTTAAATCAACAATTTTTTAACTTTCAAGAATATGACTTCTAACAAATTATCAAAAATTAAAATTATTTTTTTATTCGTTTTAGATCTCTGTAAATTTTGGACATCAATTGGTGAATGTAAAAATAACAAGGATTGGATGCGGGATCATTGCCCTGTTAGTTGTGATGTTTGTACTAATGGTAAAAGAATAAATATTTTTTTGAATGAGGGGAGTATAATAGAATTTTTAAAGGATCATCAGTTTGTGTCGATCGTCATCGTCTCTGTGATTTTTGGGCATCTATGAAAGAATGTGAAACAAATGCTGTTTGGATGCTTGTAAATTGTCCTCGTTCTTGCAAAGTGTGAGAGAAATTTTATTAAATTTATTTCATAAATCGGACCTCGATTATCAAAAAAACACTGGGTATCAGTAAACCGGTCGGTTTATTTTTCAACCCTCCACTAGGGGGTCGGTTTATTAGAAGGGGTCTATCTAATAGAGACAGTCGCACAATTAGAAGAAATACGGTATTAACACTGAATAATCAGAAATTATCTAACAAATAAGTACCCCGCCCTTACTGGATGAATTGTTAGGATTAATTGTACTTTAAACTCGTCCTCTTGTTATTTGAAGCAAAATTAGAGTATTTAGAGCATGTATTTTTTATGAACCCCACCCCCGATTGAGCTTCTTAAATAATAGCAGTTTGATTTTCTATCTTAGCTACTTAATATTAATTATTTCAACTTTGATTTGAATTAATTCTGGGAACTTCTGATAGTATATGGGAGTAGTTAGTGAACCAAGTTTGTTACTCAAAGTCCTCCCGCCCTCAAAAGGACCCGCCGACAAAAGGGTCCCCCAAAAATCCCAAAGGATTAAGTGGATCGTTTCCCTATAATTGACTAATTGTTTCACTACTATTGATTGACTAATTGTTTTCTAAAGGGTTAAGTGGATCATTTCCATTTATGTTTTCTGAAAGGATTAATTGGTTCGTTCACCTACTTATTATTTGGTTCACTAACTTTAATTAATTGTTTTCATTAAATAAAATTTATTTATCGACTAATTGTATTTATTCTTTTTTCTCAATTCCTCTTTGTTTAAATTCGTATTAAGTATATCCCGAAAAAAACAATTATTTTATCTTTTATGGGGTGCAAATATTTGTGATAGATTATTCGTACAGAGAAGTCAGAGTAATTTGAAAAATTCATTTTAATAATATTATCTTGAAACAAACATTAATATGTATATACCGAAATATTAGACAGAAACTTAACTAATGAGAGTTCTCCTCATTGACACTTAAAATCTGCGATGAAATCGGCACTCAAACGGCCATTATTTATTAGCACTGAAACAACCGCGTATAAAGTAAAAAAGTTAAATATTTTCGTCTCTCCTAAAATAACACACTATTTTTCGACCCCCAATGTCCCTTTTTTTCTATGTACTTATTTTTTCAAAAATTTTTTATTTTTTAATTTATAGATTTAAAAAATTATTTAATATGGAAGAAGAATTTATTGTAGAAGAAATTTTAGATGTAAAACAAATAAATAATGAAAAATTTTTTTTGATAAAATGGTTGGGGTATGGGGCTAAGAACAATTCTTGGGAAGCTGAAGAAGATATAGTAAAAAAATTTTTTAATAAAAAATTTTTTTATTTTTTTAGCACGCAGCTGATTTAATCCTAGAATTTTATGAAAAAAGAAATAATTGTATTCTAGAAGAGTTTGTGGAATTGGAAAGTATTCGAAAGTCTGGACCTATTATTTTATTGGTTGGAGGGAAAAAGCGTGGACAAATTGCTTATGCCGTTCTATCAGAAAGAGCATTAGAATTATTTAATTCTGAAAAATCTTATAGAAAAAAGGAAGGGGCAAATACAATTATTGATTTAAAAAAATGTTTTAATGTTTCTCAACAGGTTTTTTAATAAATCAATTTTAAAAAATAAAATTTTTAACAGAATTGCCCAAAATCTCATTCAACATGTGTATGTTTAATGACTGCTGATAAAGTTTTTTTATTGGGAGCTGAAAATTCTAATGATACACTTGTAATTAATCAAACTTAAAAAATTTTTATTTTATTTTCAGGAATGGTACAACATTTTGTTATCAACAGTTATTTCTGCTAGAGCATTGAATTTAGGAAGGCCTGTCTTTGCCAATGAATTTTTTGGTTTTTAATATTTTTAAAGTTTAAACTCAATTTTTTATTTTTAGAATGTGTTTGGGATGTTATTATCTTTTCTCAACAACCAAAATTAAAACGATCTTCACAAGTGCCAGCAAACCCTGAATTTGTTAATTGTCCAAATATTTGTGCAAAATTACCTGATGAAACTTTTTTGGCAGGAAAGGGAAGACTTTGCTTTTATCCTCATTCAATTATTATCTGGTAATTTAATTTGAAAAAATATTTTTAAAAATTATTTTTAAGTAAAACTGGAATAGAACCAGCACCAAAAACAGGAATTCCTCCTTTCCGGACAAACGACTTTGTTGAAATTTCAAGACATTTTATTGCACAATTTGTATGTGTGGAACGTTATTTTCTTTTACGAATTGGGAGTAGCTCACCTATGGGATCTTGTGAAGTTTGGGTTCAATGCGAATCTGATGATCATGCTACTGAGATTAACCGCAAATTACAGGAAATAATTAAGCGTGAAAATTTGAAGAAACAACAAGGTTTGCAAACAATTCGTGACCAACAACAAGTAAATTTTTTAAGAGAAAAAAAGACGAAAACAACAACAATCAGAACGAGAAGTTGATCAAAAAAGACTTTTACTTCCTCATTATTACCAACAAAATTTAAATGAAAGGTTATTTTTAAACTTTTTTTAAATTTAAATTTCAAAAAATTTTTTAGTTCTTCTCAATCATTAAGACCAAATTGTTTGTTGGGACCTTCACAAAACAACATTTGTGAAGAACAACAACCTTCAAAGTTTATTTTAAAATTCTCCATAATAAATGTAAAATTTTTATTTAAGTTTCCGCTCATTTGGTGGTCACAGATGGACCATGGATAAAGCAGACTCAATTTTTTTGCTGGGTGCTGGTTATGGACACTCAATGCGCCCCGAGGAAACTGAGGATAGTGGAGGTACTCTTAAAAAGGTTTGTGAATGTTTGGAATTCGTTTTTTTCCTTTAAAAAAGTCGGTAATTCCAAGGCTGCTCCCCTTTTTCCTTTCTATTTTCTTCGATTTTTTTAAAACTTTTTATGACAAATTATATATCGTTCGAAAGAACTCTTCAAGCTGAGTCGAAAGGTACTAAATTCAACGAAAATCGACTTAAATAAACATAGTTATGACCATTTGTTTTAATCCCTTTCAACATCACAAAAAACATGTCCATGAGGATGTAGCTTCATAATTCTGCTTAGAATCTCCAAATCGAACCAATCATAGTATCATTCTACTCAGCTCGAACAGATCTTTCGAATGATATAATATAATTATATGTCAACCAAAAAACCTCAAAATGGTCAGGCGAACAAAAAAAAGGGGGGCAGACTTGGAACTATCAAAAAGTCCCTATTTTCCCGTTTCCCTGACTTTTTAAAACCTTTAGAAATTAATTGATACAAGAACACAAGCTTTGGAAGTTAGTGGACAAATGCATAAATTCCGTTTTGATTGTCGTGACTGTTTGGCACGTATCCTAAGTAAAACACACGCTCTACAAGACGAATTGGGAAAAGATACATGTTCTGCATTTAAAAATAATCAGGTTTAATAAAAATTACAAACGATTTTATTTATATTTACATTAGAATAGTTAAAACACTATTTATGGTGTTTTAGAGAGAGAGGTGTTTTTAGAGGGTTAAAACACCTATCTATGTATAATTTTAAGAATTATTTCATTATTTTTAGGCATTCCTCAAAGACATAGAAGCAATCGGTGCCTATGTCCAACAGATCGAAGGAGATGCTCGCCGTCTTTATGATGCTTATGCAGGTCAAAGATCAACAGAAATAGCTGAGAAGGAATATGAAATATTAAAAGCTTGGCATCGTCTAAATTATACAAGTGATTTATTCCGATTTTTGAATATGGTTGGAGATTTACTTCTTTGGATTGAGGAGGTTAAGAGAGAGATGCTTTCACATGAGAGGCCTAACGATGTTTCAGGTGTTGGATTTTTGACGGTTAGAGTTTTTTAATGTTTTATAAAATTATTAAAAATATAAAATTTTTAAAGAATAAACACCAATCATTGAAAACAGAAATTGACACACGTGAAGAAAGTTTTCGTGAATGTAAGGCTTTAGGTCGTCAATTACTCGAACGTAATCACTACGCATCTGCTGAAATTGAGAAAAAGTTGGTTAAGTTGACAATGGACAGAGCTGATATGATGCATCGTTGGGAAGATCGTCGAGAGTATTTGAGACAAAGTTAGTGGAATTTATTTTTTATACGTAATGAGGGCTCCATTCTTTTTATTTTGTAACCAATTTTCAGAGGTCTTTTTGGGAAATAATTATTTTCGGTAAGTCTTTCTAGGAGGTCTTTTTAGGAATATTTTTACCAAAAAAATCTTCATTTAACTCCTATTATTTTTTGTGATAAACTCTCATTTTTTCCTTTATTCCAGTTCTCGAGGTTTACCAATTTGCAAGAGAAGCAGCAGTTTCCGAAGCTTGGTTATTTGCCCAAGAACCTTATTTATTATCTCGTAATTATGGCCGTAATTTAGAAGAAGTTGTAGCTTTAATTAAAAAATATGAAGCTTTTGAAAAGAGTGCACAAGAAGAGAGATTTATGGCTTTAGGGAAGTTGACGAACTTTGAATTAAAAGAAATGCGAACAAAAGGTTTTTTTTTTAAAAAAAGAATTTAAAATGAATATTCTATTATAACGTCAACCAGAAGAACGTTGTCGTCGTGCAGGTGTTACACGACCAAACCCACGTCCAGGAGAAACTGTTTTCCCTGCATCGCCAACCGGGACAACTTCACGTTCTCATAAAGGTATTAAGGCAATTTAAATTTGAGAAAAATATTTTTTAGTTTGTAAATGCTCTTGTTGTGGAGTTATTTTTATAATTTTAGTTTCTAATCGGCAATATTTAATTGTCAAGAATTAGAAATTAATTTAAAAATTTTAAAAATAATTTTAAATAAAAATTTTTTATTAGAATGTCAAACAGAAGAGGAACGTCGTCAGTGTGGCAGTGGTTTATTCCAGTTTGAGGTTAGAGATTACTTCCATTTATTTAAATTTTACTTTTTACTTTCAGAACAAGGAAAATGTTCATAAAAAGCGGAATAGAGGCAAAGTATGTTTAAAAATTTTTTAAGTAACGGATAATATTCTTGTATCCGTAAAATTCTAATTTTAGTTTTTAAACAAAGGCAACCCAACCCTTTAGGGTCAGGGTCCCAATCCTTTCGGGTTAGGGACCCGATCCTCTAGTGCCGGGTTGCATTGTTTAGAGTTTTACATTAAAAGGCAACGCAACCCAATCCTCTAGGGTCAGGGTCCCAATCCTTTCGGGTTAGGGACCCGATCCTTTAGGGTCGTGTTGCATTGTTAAAAGTTTTAAAAGTAAATGGTAACGCAACCCAACCCTTTAGGGTCAGGGTCCCAATCCTTCAGGGTTAGGGACCCGATCCTTTAGGTTCGGGTTGAGTTTGTTTTCGGACTTAAATTAAAATTTTACGGATACCTGAATATTATTTGTATTATTTAAAAATTTTTAGTTTTACTGTGGCCATGAGAGAAAAAAGAAACGTAAAGAAAAATTGATGGCTAATTTATAAAAATTTTAAATAAAATTGTTAAAAAATTTTTGAAATATAAAACTTTAAATTTACCAAGGTGTATTAATATTTCAACTAATATTATTAGTGGGCTCTTTGGCAATAGTTAAGTTTGTGTTCCTCTTTTTTATTTTCAAAATACTATTTGTCTTTCAATCAAAAAAGATTAAAATTCTTGCATAAAATGTGGGAGCACTAGTGTGGATTATTTCTTTTCAAAATAGAACAAACTAAAAATTTTAAAACTTGAGAAAAACTGAGTGTAGATGATAACAATTTCTATCCATGACTTGAGGATCATGGACTTATTCGGAAGAAAAGTTATTGACAAGAAAAAAAAGGCAAACTTTGGTGAGAAAGTTGACCATTACGTACATTCTTAATAAAGGGGAAACACAAACTTAATTATTACCGAGTTTATAATAGGTTGAGCTTTTTCATAATAATTTTTGTAAAATAATTTCAACAGTTTTATCAGCGTGTAAATTAACAAGATTTGCACGAAAAATTAACAAGGTATGCACGAAAAAAGCTTGGATTAATAATTTCAGAAAATATGTAATTTTAAGACCTTCTGAAATTACGACGAAAAACCGAAAAGAGTACTCTATCCAATCTTTAAAATACAACAATAATCAACCCAAATAGTAAGTCTTCTCCCAAAAATTCAAAACATCTTGGTAATAGTTAAGTTTGTGTTACGCTCTTTTTGGAGAAAAATTTCCCTTTTCACTTTTTTGATGGGAACTAAAAATTTTTAGAGCTTCTCATCTACATGAAAAGCTTTGTTTAAGTTATAATGATGGCTTGAGGATTTTGGACAACGATTATACAATAAGTGTGAAGGTAGAAAACTATTCATGACATTAAGGGTAGCTAATTTTTGGGTTTTTGTGTTTTTAAAAGCCGAAGATATGTAGTGTTAGAAGAAAGGGTGAATGAAGTCTGACCATACTTTAGTAAGAAAGAAAAAGCCGTACACAAACTTAACTATTACCAACATTTCACCAATTAACCTCAAACCCCCCCCCCCCCCCCCATACAATCAATCTCTCAAAAATCTCTCTAAAACCTCAAGAAATCCCCCAAAAATTCCAATTCCTCACAAAACTTCTTCAAGCCGCTGCTGCAGACCCGTCAGCGCCAGGTGGTCCGGGAGGACCGGGCGGGCGTCTAACGACATAAGGTTTGCAACGACGTCCCGCTGAAAATATTTGAAATTTATTTTTTTAATATTTTAACTCTTACATCCGGTCCTCCGAACTACTAGCTGATCTCTACTTCGATCAAAAGCGGCTAGTTCCCTCCTGAAATTTAGCATACTTTGAAGGGTAGCTTGTCTGCGCGCTACCCTTCGTTGTTCCTGTGAAAAAGTAAAAGTTTAGCAAAAGTTTAGCCACCGGACAGGATTCGAAACAGTGTTTGCTCGGTCCCGTTTACAGGTGCTCTACCTCTTATGTATCGGGGCGACGACTAATGCTTTCCCTTTTCCCCTTATGTTCTTTTAACCCCTACCCAAAAGTTTTAAAACGTTTGTAAGTGAACCCAATATTTAAAGAAAATAAGAATAGAAAAAAAATTTTTAATAATAGAAAAGTTTTAAAAGTACCGCTTCTCGCAATGCTTGGACTTCTCGATTAATTTGTGAAACTCGGTCGGTCAAGCTTGCAACTTGGAGGTGGATGGCTTCCAAATGTTGACGAGCCTCACCAAGCTCACTAGAAATGTTGTTTAGAATATTGTCAATAGCTGCCCAATCAACATTATTTGATGAATTTGACGGATTTGAAGAATTCGAAGCAGAATTTGAAGAATTCGAAGACGATTTTGAAAAGCACATTTTACCAAAAAAATTTTTAAAATTCTTAAAATACTAACTAGAAAATATTAAAAAATAAAAGTTGAAGAAAGAATAAATGAGATGTATGTGTATATAGGAAACATTATCCGCAGAGATAAGATCAACTTTGCCGCAATATGGCGATTTACTATGTCCTTGGAGAGTGCCAATAATAGAAAGGGTGTCGAGAGAATTGAAAAGTCGAGGAACATTAATTCAAAACGAGAAAACAGACACTATCTACCCATGAAATCGAGACTAGAAAAATCGAGAATTTCAATAAACTAATATAATTTATCATTTTTGTTTTTGTAAATTCAAATAAGAATATGCCAAACAAAATATATTTAAAAATAAGATTGACCTTTGATATGAAAAATTATTGTATGAAAATATTTTAAAAATAATTTTAAATTATACAGTATATTTATAGAGTTATAGTATTTTTTTCTCTAATTTAAATTTCTTTAAAATTTAAAGTTTGGCATTTTGTATATTAGATATCGGAGCGAGTATAAAAGGCTGATCTGAATCCTCCAAATCCATTCTGAATAATAATGACTCTTTTAATCAACGAATGTGCCAGGATCTTGGATTGTAAAGTGAAGGCACTTCGTGACCGATTAAATCACCCAGAGAATAGATCCAAAATTATGAAAGAGCTCCTCTGCCGTAAAGTCCAAACTACATATAATGATAGAAATGGATTCAAAAAATCCTTTGCTTTAAGTGGATTAACTATAAATGGTGCCACATCTATTCCTGCTTATGGACGACTTCACCGAAATTTTAATGTCAGTGTTGCCGCACACTTTTTTGCGCGACATAGAATACGACTTCAATATCCTTATCTCCAATGCGCAATTGAGAGTTTTTCAAAAGGCGAAAATCGACACTACCCTCTTGAACTTTTAGAACTTGTAGGTGAAAAGAAGAATGATGTCCCTAGTTGGTTAGGGGGGATATACTCGGACAATCCAGATATGAGATGTTCAACTAGTCCAGTAATCTTCAAAAAACTTAGTGAAGACGAGGATGAAGAAATTGACGACTATTGTCGAAGTACACTTAGTCAATGTAATGGGTGGTAATTATATGATTTTTTCTTAAATCTTTCAAAAAATTCCTTAATATTGTAATTTTCTACCTAAAAATTGAAAGAAAACATTCTAAATTCTGTAATTTATTTTTTTAATTTTGAAATTTAAAATTTATTTTCAATAAACCCCCTAATATTGTAATTTTCTACCTAAAAGTTGAATGAAAACATTCTAAATTCTGTAATTTATTTTTTTAATTTTGAAATTTAAAATTTATTTTCAATAAATCCCTTAATATTGTAATTTTCTACCTAAAAATTGAAAGAAAACATTCTAAATTCTGTAATTTAGTTTTAATAATGTCCTAACTACTGAAATTTATTTTTGAAATTTTACAATAAATTCCTTAATATTGTAATTTTCTACCTAAAAATTGAAAGTAAAATTTCTAAATTCTGTAATTTATTTTTCAAAAATTTCTTAATATTGAAATTTTCTACATAAACAATTATAGTAAAAATTTTCAATTTTGCAAGTAATTTTCGTTAGTAATGTAATTTTTTACCTCAATAAAAATTATTTTAATTTACATATTTATTCATTAATAAATCCAAAGTAAAGAACAGAAAAATCGGAAGGGCGAATAACGCCCTTCCCGACATAAGGCTTGTAGATTTTTTTAAGTGGTTGAGTGGTTACAATACCATCTTTAATTGAGGGGCGCAAAAAATGTGGGTATAAAATAGGAACACAGGGGGGTTCACCTGTACTAACATATTCTAAAACTTGATTCTTAAATGTCTCGTATCTTAAATTTTGGTTCTTGATCACATCGTAGTTGAGCGTCATCCCTCGTACCTTCAGGACATATTCTGGTTCACCATCTGGATTGTCTTTTCGTTGAAGCTTCAAACCATACTGCTTTGCTCCACCAGAGCAGTACTCGACAATATGATGATTTGGGTATTCATCGGTAAACTCCCCTAAATGTGGTCCCAGTTTTAGTGGTGTCACATCTCGGGGATGTGAGAATATTACCGAATCAGTATCTGAAAAAATGTTTTCAAAAGGTTTAAAAAATTTTGAAATTGCCTGTATAAAGTACTGAGCAACCCTCAGTTCTCACAACTTTTTGTAATGCACGCAGCAAGTGAATCCTTGCGGCTGAGGTCGTCCAGAGGGATATGACTTAATAATCACAATTATTAAAGACTTACTCTAAATTACATACCGACGTTGGATGTCTCATGTTCTTGAACCCAATCTTTTTTCTTAGAGTATGTGATGAATATAGTGTCCTCTGTCAAGTTTTCAATGTTCGAAATTTCGATGCTTCGATCAAAAGTCATTTTCTTCAATTCAGATGGGTCATCTGTGATCAAGCATTGAGACAAACCATTCCTTAGTGAGAATCTTCCCCCTAAATTTAATTTCAGAATTTAATTAAATTAAAATACTCACAAAGGTTATTCAAGCATAATTTAGCTTGAGTTCTTTTCCCTTTGTTTGCCACCTAAAATATTTTTAATTTTATTTTTTAAATTTAAAATCCTAACCATCTTTTCTCTTTCAATTTTAATTCCAAATTTCTCATCACACTCTCGAATAAAAACGTCTTCTGCTTCTACATTTCCTCTAATGCTGCTATCAAACCCTGAGCTGTGAATTTTTTGTGCCATAAATTCACTGATGTAAGGCTTGAACAGCTCATTATCTGATTGGGTAAATTCAAGGACACGTAGAAGCTTAGTTACTACATATCCTGACTCAAGTGCAGCATTAAGCTCGATTGAAGTACAAGTGGAGACCCATCCACGTTGTTGATCAGTGTGTGAGCAACTATAAGTCTCCTTCACCTTGCCCTCAGGATATTTACGCGCGCATTTGGCACATAGTGGAAAAAGAAGTCTTTCATCATTTTCTAATTTCATCGGAAGGACAGGAACGTCGATATGTCTCGGAGGGACCACAAACACCTTAATTACCGTATACTATAGAACCAAAAAATATAGGAACCTTAAGAATAGACAAAGGATAGATATTGTCGGCCGGACAAGTCCAATTCACGTCTTGATTCAATCGATGAACAATCGGATGGCCAATAGGGTAGTTTGTAGAGA